CGAAAGAGGAACCCAAGGCAAAGCCAAAAGAGAAGGAGGATGGCAAACAGAAGGAGGACACGAAGAAGAAGGAGGACAACAAGAAGAAAGACGACAAGATGAAGAAGGCTTGGCTTGTTGATATGTTTGATCAATGTCTTGGGGACGTTTTAAAAAGGGCATTGCACATGTGTACGTCCTCTACCAGAGCTGGCTCGGAAGGAGGATGGCAAGGTTGCGAAGAAGGAGAAAGAGAAGGTGAAAGAAGCGAAAGAGAAGACGGAGAAGAAAAAGAAGGCAGCCTGACCATGGGCGATTTGAGCATTCTCATGTAGAATGCGGCGTCATGTGCTTCTGTGTCGCTGTCGTTTCCTCACCATCAAGCCTGAAAAGGTCGAAATGTCTCGCCTGTCATCCGGGGTCCCGCATTTTCTCTGTGAGTTGTAGAAAGCTTGCTTGTTGGGCCCTTGAGAACTGGACCTCAAAGTTGAGCATAGGAAAGGTTCTACACTGCGGTTTGGAACCGGGTTGTGTACACTTGACAGTGGAACTGAAAAGCATTTAAGTGTTGTGCGACTGAATCAAGCGCAGTTGCAGTTCCTGTCAGCTGTTTGTTTTGAGGTCAGGAGTTTGCGCGGCGAAAGCTGTGACGTATTGGTTAGGTCCTCGCTGCACTGTTTGTTCAGCTCAGCCAAGGAGAAAGAGAAAGACGAGTGGCTTGGACATAAGTCAGTTTGTTTTCACTGGGTGGGTCTTGCTTGCACATCCGGGGAAGTTGTCGCCCCGGCAGAAAGGGATGGTCATATCAATTCTAACATCTGCTTTGTTGATACCAGCACGTGCCTGCCAAGGAAGCCAAAAAAGGAAAAGGACAAGGCCAAGGAGAATGGCCAACACACTTGCAATGCAAAAGTAAAAGTGCCCTATCGGCTCAGCGAAAAGGGCGTTGGGCTCTCCTCACTTCAAGGTTGCCCGACTTGCCACTGGTACTGAACACCCCCTGTCGATGGACTGTTGGAATGAGGCAGTCTTTGCTGTCCCGCTGTTTTGAGTGCAATTCAAACTGTGGAGAAACGATAAACTACGTCCAGGCTTTTGCTGGTTGCCGGCTCTGTGTTCAGGAGAGATCGAAGAGATCAAGAAGCCGGGACACCAGGCATGGACCACTCTGAGCCACTGAAAGCGGCCTCCACTTGAGCGGCGTGTTGCTGTGTTTAGTCTGGATTGCTCGCCCCAGCCTAGGTTTTGGAAGGTGCATGTCAAGGAACTGAAGCAAACGATAGCCAGTGTTACAGGGACTTATGAGCTTCAGCTGTTTCATGCCTTGACTCATTGACCCGGCCGTCTTCTGAGTGTACATGTGTTTTGCTTTTGTTTTTTTGTTTTTTTGGGGGGAAGGTGTGCCTTGGATGGTTCAAGCGTGCAAGGACCAAGAAGAAAGATCTGGAGGAGAGCAAAAGGGCTTAGCACTTGGCCTCTACATCCCTGGAAAGGGACGTGCAGCAGTGCTAGTTGTTTGTGACAAAATGGGGGGGCAAGACCCCCACAAAGAAAGGTGAGGTGTGTCTGTTTTGTTGCCGTGTTTGTTTTGTGCCGTTGTTTCTTCCTTTTCTTTCATTCCTTTTTTTGTACAGGGGGGGGGGTAAAGTGAATCCTCTCAATTATTGCCTTCCAAGAGGACAAGCCTGATGTAACAGTGTGGAGCCCCGCCGCAAGTTGCCAGGTAGGTGTAACCTTTTGTTTGGGCTTGCTAGGGGCAGCTCCATGGCTAGATAAAGGGTTGTAGGGGACAGATAGGTGTTGATATCTGTGAAACTATCCACCCTTGGAACATTTACTGTGTTGGTAGCGCCCTTATTGTCGGTTGTGATCATGGGCTAAAGGCGGACGTGGTAGACGAAAGAGTGGCCGATTTTATTCAGGACGACAGGAAGCATCAGAGGGGTGTAGCTGAGACGGTGCCGGCCAAAGAAGCGGAGGAGCAACCTAAGGAGGAGGCAATGGAGGAAGAAGTGGTAGAGGAAGAGGAAGCTGGAAAAGAGGAGGAAATTGAGAAAGAAGAGGAGGCAGAAGTTGAGAAAGAGGAGGAGGAGGCAGAAGTTGAGAAAGAGGAGGAGGAGGTAGAAGTTGAGCAAGAAGAGGAAGTCGAAGTTGAACAAGAGGAGGAAGTAGAAGTTGACAAGGAGGAGGAAGTAGAAGTTGAACAAGAGGAGGAAGTAGAAGTTGACAAAGAGGAGGAAGTAGAAGTTGAGGAGGAGGCTGAGAAGGAAGAAGCAGCTGAAGTGGAGGAAGAGGATGATGCGGACAAAGAGGAGGCCAAGGCAGAAGAGCAACCTGCAGAAGTTACAGCCGAGGACGGCTTCCGCGTCCATTTCTCAAATATCTTTGAATCATGACATTACCATTTCAGGGTTCACTAAACATGGGCCATAACCAAAGGCTTGTTTGTTGGTTGGCAAAACTGGGTTAGATTTGTAGGGGTCCCCTGGTTTTTGAAGCAAGTGCAATGGATGTGGCCAATGGACATGGTTTGACTGGGCCTGGTTTTGCAAAGGCTTGAGATTTACAATTTTCCCGTGTTCATGCCCCGTTGCCATCGAATCTTCATTCATTACTGAGCTCACCAATGTGGGATGAACAACAGGCTCATGGGTTTGTTCGGTCCCGTGCTTTGTGATTCATTCCGGGCATGAACATGGCACCCCAAAATCTGCCCTTGGAGAAATCTCCTTTGGGGGGGGGGGAATCAAGGGAATTTATGTATGGTATCCGACCGTTCTTTAAAACGACAAAAAAGTTCATGCGAGCGCGGCGTTCTTTAAGAACGAATTATCCTTCCTAAGTGGATCCGACCTGACTTTTGACCTCACAGGACGTCGTGGTGCTGGACGATGACGAGACGGCGAAGCCTAAGGCTGAGCCGATGCCACAGGAGAGTAGACCAGAGGCGCGTGCGGCAGGGAGCGGTCTGAATTCGTCAGCCTGGGTGACCAGTTGAGTGCAAGCTGCAAAGCGTGCGAACTGACCAAACTTTTCGTTTCAGAGAAATCTGGCGCTGAAGTTCCGGCTTGTGAAGACACATTCTGCTTTGCGGGGGTTCCGTTTAGCAAATCGTGGCTAGCCCGAAGCCTTTTGGTGAAGAGCTATGCTGTTCAGTGACTAGGGCTCGATGCAGTGCCTCACAGTTTGGGCAGCAAATCAACATAAGGTACACCCGAACCCTTGAAAACGGCTTATTGCCCCAAAATGTTTGGTGGATTTCCCTTTCTACCGGTAGTTTGAGGGTTCAGGTATTCTTTGCGGTTGACGAAATCACTCGAGGAGCGGCAAAACTGTGTTTTTTGGATGTGCAGACGAGGATCCCTTCTGGACCATCTTATTGAGGGACCCCCGTCCCCAACCACATGGCTGGGTTCCGATTGAATATATTTAATTTCCTTTATCACAACAACAAGAAGGGTGCCCTCAAAACAGGATGAACCCGAGTTCACCAAGTTTTGACGATGACTCGTGCTTCCCCATATAATTGGTTCCATGTGCCTCGCAAAACTCTGAATAAGACCAGCGATGACCACCCAGAACCCGCCGGGTGCTAAATATGGGAGTTGGATCAATATTCCTCGCCCCAAAGTGACCATGGGGTAACAATTCCCATCCTGCGACGAAGGTCATCTTATTTTTCTGGTGGTTCCCTCAGAGTCACCCCATGTATCACGGACCTTTTGATCAGCCCCGAAGAAGCGAACTGACGTCCCCCACATAGCCGACTCGACTTGCAAGGAGCTGCCCGGCGCGTTGCCAAGCTGGGTAAAGGTTGGCCCGGACGCCTGGACTTCCTGCGACAATGCTGTTTCCTTAAGCCTCTGTGTGAGCACTTCATTACGATGCTGTTCTGTTTTTTGGGCTGTTCAGAGGCAATCCTCAAATGTTCGTGTGGGTTACAAAAGGGATTATGGACTGGGATTGACGAACCGTCCATTTCAATACCCCGCGTAGCTGGGCTCCCTCTTAGGTTGATGGATAATCATAACTTGTTTGGGTGGTTGCCCATTTACTTGCAGACCTCATAGATGTTTTTCATCTAACCCCGGGACGGTTCTTGTCGCAACGGATTGCATGTGAGCCAACTTGCTTGGCCGTATGGTCCAGCAAGTAGAACAGATGACTGGCATGCTTCCATTTGGTTCAGATATGTGTTATTTTCCCCTGTTGGTTTTGAAGGGAATCTATCACTACTGGGCATTTTTGTTGCCAGGGGACTTAAGAAAATGGAGGCATGGTGCGACTAGGACAACGGTTGGCTCCCGTTGGATCACATTTCCACTTGTCGCCTTGCCATGTGGACATTTGGCTGAAGGCCAGGTCACCCAAGCCCAAAGGGGGCAAACAAGACGCCTGGCAAATTGGTTCACAACATGCTCGATATTGTCTCGCTCCCATGAGTTCCTGGATTTTAGACCTTGGGGAAGATTATGTTAGTGGTAAAAAAAAGCTTTATTTGGCCAATCTACTCAGGAAGTGAGTTGCTAGATTTTGTGTTTCAAAAGGAAAGTCGTGAACAGGTCGTGCCCTTCCACGCCGGTTGGTGGGATGAGATCCACATTTGACTTGGAGTTTGACCCAGATTTTGTGTGGCTCGATCATATGGAGATTCACTGGGCAAAAGGCTTCCATGCTTGGCATGGGCTTAATGTCATTGACATTGCCACTCCGTTGAACTCGGAGGGTGTGTTGGACGTGACCGGGATGGGCGAACCCAATGGGATTAAATTCGCCCAAGGAGATTGCTTGTCGCCACCCAGGTCATCTTGGGCTTGGTTCTTTGAGCCGAGTTGAAGCTGTACTGGCTGGAGTCAAAGCTTCCCAACCTCTCCTCCCCAAGCCCTACACCTGCTTGTTGGGTCCTTGTTCCCTAAACAGACAATTGGTCCAGCAATTCTGAACCAGATGCAGAGGGCAGGTTTGCACGATAGATCTCGAACCCTTGTGTCCTTGTAGTTCTGGGTGAATGTCAGAAGGACAGAAACACAGCACGCATCAGGGAACGAGGTTTCTTAAACACATGGGGGTACCAACGCTTTGTGACTATTTGGCTAGATCTTTGACCTTGAACTGATTGGTTGAACCAGCTCGGAGTTTCCGAATTGAACCCACATAAAGTGTGTTCCACTTTTTGCAGAGGGGTCAACATCTTGCCCGCAACCAGAAAAAAGAAAGGCAAACACCTGGCGTGGTTTGAAGCCGACATCTTCCGAGCGAAAAAAATGCAAGCGCCGAAGGCACGTGAATCGATCGATCCGAGGCAAGCGGGTGCAGTGGTTCTCGGCCTCGTTGAAGCGCCTGGTGCCGGTGCGGATCACCAAGGTGGATCTGGCGAAGCGGGGAGCCTTGGGGCACGGAGAGGGGTGAGCTGGGCGGGGGGGGTGGGGGGTGGGTTGGGGGAGGGGTGGGGAAGGAGTGGGGGGAGGGGTGCTGGAAACGCTTGAAATTGGGTTTCGACTTTGTACAGTACATGTGTTGTGTTCGTTCAAGGGGGGTTGCCACATTCTGGGTTCGCAATAAGCATCTGGATAAAGTGACAGCATAGTTTTGGGAGGAGAGACCGCATTTTCCACAACCGCAGCTGGAAACGAGGATCCAAAGGGGAACAAGTCCGAGTGGTTGTTCCAGACGGTGGCTGTTTCTGAAGTCTCACGGGTTGGTTGGTTGGTTGGTTGTTTGATTGGCTGTTGTTACCCATTGTACCCAGGGGCATGAACTCGACTGTTGCTGCGTGTGATACAGGCAACATTGTTGCACATTATGCCTCTCAAAATAAAAATAAAAATCTGCATCTTCATGTCACGGGAAATTGTGAGTTTTCGGATTTGTGTTTGCCAGACACCCGACATTGTGCATACTCTTGCCCTGTGTAATGTATTCAAGCGTTGTGCAGCATGTTCGGATAACGAGAGGGCTGTTGCGCTGGCCAAGAGGTGGCGTTGGCAGGGAAGCATTGTGGCAAAGGACTCAGAGCAGTTGAAACGGTTGAAAGATGTTTTCTGCGCATGACCCTTGCTGGCCGTTTGGAGTGGCCATTTTGAGGAAATTTGACGCGTTGGAAACTCATGTTGTGCAGTCACCCGTGACCAAATAGGTGAAGAGAAGGAATGGGGTTGCCTCTCGGCAGGTGGCACTCCAGTGACTGTCTAAATGCCGAAGCCGTGCGGTGGCGGAAGTTTCTGTTATTCAATCATTGTCTATATTGTTTTCTGAATCTTCTTGAGAGATTCGGGGTATATGAGATCGATCCTGGGTGCTGGAAAGCCCGACCAGCTACTACTTGTCAAAATCCCCTCACGGAAGCTAAAAGGGGGGCAGGTCGTGGAAGTTTGAAAGATCCAGACCAAGGTTGATGGTGTCAAGGTTGGTGACGTGTTCTGTTTTGTCCCAGCTCAAATTACTGTTCAACCTCCTACCTATGACTTTAGCCGCAGTGACTCAGTGACCCTTAAAGACTAAACACTCTTAAGCAGCCTGACACCAACCATTGGGTGTTTCGTATGTACACATTCTCAGCTGATCAACTAGGCACTTTGGGCTCCTATCTTGGGTACTGGAGCGGGTCCTGCTGACTCACGCGGACCCCACCCCTACATGTTGGTCCTTTTGACCCACACGAACCCCACCCCCTCCCAACTGGGCAAAAGTCTGTCCCATTGGGTAGTTCCCTGCCAATTGGGCAAAAAAGTCGGTTCCATTGGTTTGTTCCCCTCGGGCCGCGCCATAAATTCGCGAGCCAAGTTCTCACACGAACCACAGAGGTCGCCCGTCAAGGCCGAGGGAAACTGAAGGCAGGTTGCTTCAACAGCTTCTTTTTTTTCCCCCCCCCCCCCGCATGTGCCAGCATCTGTTTCAACAGGCTCTCTTTTAAAGTTTGTTTAGTGGACAATCATCGGGGCCCCGATTTTTTGAAAAGTCTACTTGGGAATGAAAGTTCGACTTCTGAAAAGTCCTTCTGTCACCCTCTGTTCTGTTCAATCCTTTGGTCCCTTTGTCCCCTTTCTGATCAATTCTCTGTTCCCTCTGTCTTCGGACTCGGATTGGATTGGTGTTTTTTGTTTTTTTCGTTTTGACGCGTCACAGGTCCGTGGTGATCGCGACCTTCGAGGCGGACAGCGCCGTCTGGAAGAGCGCCGTGGGCCCAAGACGTTTTCGGCGGCCGCTCGGGGAACCGCTGCGCTGGTCAATGGGGCGGACAGCGCAAAGAAAGCTCACCTGGCCATGGGTCAGTTGAACCGTTTTGGGATCCCATTTTGGTTGGTAGGTGCATTTACCACCCATTTCAGAACCTATTTTAGTGGGGATTGGGATGTTCACTGGGGGTACAGGGCTTTGACCCACAGCCACCTCGTGGGTTACGAAAGGAGTCCGCTTTGTGGTATCCCAATATGGATGAAGATTGATTTGCCAACACTCCGGTTTAAACAGCCCAGTTTCAGGCTGTTTTGAAGGGAAACGGAAGGAAGCCACATTAATTTTGGGGCTTCGATAGAGTGTGCCATCAAAGCGGTTCCTTGGTTTGGGACAGTTTATGCACCCGTGGAGTTTAGAAAATTAGAGACCCAACGCAAAGGTTCCCATTGGAGATCCATGACCCAGCACACAAAGCCCCTCCAGGTACGGCGCTTTCAAAAAACATATGTGGAGGGCAGGCCGAGGCTGAAGGCATCCGAGGATCCGCTGGTGCGCTGGCTGGGCCGCGCCTGGCGTTTTGAAGGTACAACCAGTTGATCCCGAAACAGTGGCAAACTTTAGCCTTTGGGAACACGCAGGTTACGGGCATCAGCAAGTCAAGCGAGCTGTTTTTTGTCTCTGCGAGACGTGTGCAGGATCTGTTTGCAAGATGTTTGTGCAAGATCTCTTGGCAGGATCTCTTGGCAGGATCTCTTGGCAAGATCCGTGCGACACACAGGGTTCTTCAGAGCACCCTCCATACAAGTTCTCTGTTCAAAATGTGTTTGGAGCATCCTCCACAGATCTCTTGAAAGGAAGCCTTTGCAGGTCCTGTGCAAGAGGTTGAGAGCATCCCCGTGAAGGAAACGGCAAGATGTATTTGGAAGAATCTCTACAGAATCACTGCACGGTATTTCTGCGTACGCCCCGCAGCCCGCTGGCAAAACGACATCAGAATCGGCGTCACATCGCAACGAGCCATCGGACACGTGCAGAGTCTGCAGCGGGTTGCACCAACTGAGTCCTTTTGTGGAAGGGAGGGAGCCGCCTTGTGCAACTTAGACCTCAAGCGACGTGGGGGGCTCTCCCCGCAAGTGTCGAACTGCCGAGGTGCATTTCGCCATTTTGGGTCGGGAGGAGTGTCCTCTGAAGGGCCCCGAGCCTGGCGAGGAGTGGGATGTTCACCTTGTTCAGCTCTCAGCCGGTGACCTTGTAGCATTGTGGGTGCTGGATTCAGAGCCTAGGCAAACAGGGCGCTTGGGATTAGCTGAAATTTGGGGCCTGGTCCAGGGACCAGATTCGATGGGACGTGTTCGACAGCGGTTGCTTCGCAACTTGCCAATTTGTGACATGGCAAGAGGTGGTCCCTTGGGGTCCAAAGGCTGGTTCCGGTCTAAGGATTTGCAACTGACATGCCAAGTGTTGGGATTTCCGTGATACAACGCAGGCGTTTTGACATGGCGGATGCTTGTAGCGTTGTTCAGGTTCTTCAAAACACTTTTGGGCGTGAGTTCCTGGAAGCCACGACTTACTGTAGGCAGATGGTCATTTCGAGGATGTGACTGCTCAGGCGTTTCAGCAAGATTCCGGGAAATTTTAGACATCGGGAAGAAGAGGCGTTTTTTTTTTTTTTAGCGCCTTGGCGGCAGGAGAGCAGCGATGAGGCACTGGCCTCGGTGATTATTTGATGCGACTGGGGATCCGTGCTGAGTTTGCAACATGACAAGAATCCTGCGAGCCCGTTGAAGTAGTTGAGCCGTTCGCCAAAAAAGTGTCCTTATCTTCGGTTTGCTTGAATATTTGTTATGTTATTTTGTTGGTTTTAAAGGTTTCATTTTTCTCAGGCTTAAACAACTGGAAGTTATGAGCTTTATGAATCTACTGAAGGAGAAGTGAAAGGCCCGCTTGAAAAGCCCCACCTAGCTGACAGCGCCTTTCAACTCAACAAGGTCGCAGCACAGACTCTTTTTGTTTACTATGTGTTCGTTGCTTCTTCAGGCAATAAATTCAGAAGCCCCCCTGTGAACCTGTGAGCACAGCGAAGTGAAAGATCCTCTTGTGTTGCTGTTTCAGCACGAAAGTGCATGTGCCAACGTGAGGTGTTTCAAAACCATGTTGAAAGGAGTTTTCAAAGACATACATGAGCTGTGTCAAAATAAGGGTCTCAAAGTTTTACACTGCATCAAATGCAAGGCCCTTCTAAGATGGTTGGCCCAATGGTTGGCGGTTCTTTTTGCATTGGCCCAAGAGGGGAGCTTTGACACGCGAATTGCGTGCTGTGTCGAATTGGAGACTCCTCTAGATTGGGCTTTAAAGAGATGGCGCACGATTTAACCCATTGCACAACCACCTGATGTCCAAAGGTTTTTTGGTCAAAGGAAGTTCCTTCCGTAGTACTGGAACTAAGTTGAGCAAGCTCCTTCTAAGAATGCATGCGCCCGTGCGTGAACTCTTGTGAATTTGTGCCATGCGCGTGAAAAAGCCAGGAACAAGCTAGAAAATGCGAGAGCTGGGGAATAGAAGCGGGCCGGGAATCCTGTGCTGAGTTCGGCTCTTCCGTATGTGCGCAATCCACCTCGCTCGCAACGCCTGACAGAAGCAGTCTGGGAGCGGAGCGGTCTCCGACACAGAAACCATTGGCACCTTTCAAAAGGTCGGGTGCAGTTGCGCACGGAGCGCGTGCCGTGTCGGGCCGCGTTGCTGCTGCTTTCAGTGAAAGCGCCGCCTTTGCGCATGACGCGCGAGCCGTTTCGGGCAGCGCTTTCGTGTCGGCGCACGACGTACAGAAAAGAACAAGTCTCAATCCGCGGGGTGCCCCCTTCCATCACCCCCCCCGGTCCACATCCACAAACCGGGGTCCAAACGCAGGAGGAGGCTACCAAGCGAAAGCGTGACCGAAGCAGGACGCTGGTTCGCCCGAAGCACGCGCGGTGTGGTCAGTCCTGTTTTGCTCCTTATTAGTAGTTTGGAACCCAAAATGAGTTCTAAGGCTTCGCGTTTGTGGGTTCTGCAGAAGAGAGGACCCTCGAAATACCATCCGTATTAAAGACTTCCTGAGACTGATCGTTAAGTTTGCAATGGATACCTGATCAGGAAGTCTTATGAGCCCTTTTGAAGGGAAATCGATGAAGACTGGGGTTCCCCATTTCCAGTTTGGGAAGTACAGCAATTAGCCCAGCAAGACAACATACCATGGACGATTGGGTACCCACCCCATTCGGTGGAACCTTGTGGTTTGGTGATTCCTCTAGTGCGTAAGCTTGTTTTTGTTCAGCTGCCACTCGTCATTGCTGAAACCAGCAAAAGATGTACTCAGTTTGGTTTGCAACAGATGGCTCTACACATGCCACAATTGACTGCAGAGCCTCAACTTTACTTTCAACTTTCCCAGGTGCAACGTTTTTGCGGTCACCCCACCCCATCCGCAGGATGGTTGAAACTGGCTTTCGTGCCAATGGGTCCTCAGGGTGTATAAGGCTCAAAGCCTGAGCCTTTGGCAATCGAAACAGCCGAGTTCCTTAATTAACACACCAGTACGCACCTGGGATGGACGCAGCCCTATGAATTTCGGGGGACACCACTTATCAACTGGCAGAATTTCACCCAACAGTATGTCTGGATCCTAGTTTGTTTGGTGGCGCCCTGTGGACCCCCGGAAATGAGTTCATCGATGTGTTTTCGGTGAGTTCCCCAAAAATACGGATAGCGTGAGACAATGATACATTTTGTTGTTTTTGTATGAGACAACATGTGTATGTTTTTTGTTTGTAGCGATCTTCTCAAAAAAAGAGGTTCCCTTTGTTTGGGGTTGGTCTTTTTTCTCCCCGCAGGACGCCGGATGTTTGGGAGCAAGAGCGGCGCCGGGTCATCGCAACCCAGGCGAGAGACCGCTGCCACGTCCGAGCCGACGCTTTGGGATGTCCTTCATTCCAGAGAATGCCTTTGACGCACAATGAAGAGAGGGTTAACTGGCTGTCGATGGCAAGTATAACAGGAAACCTTGACAACCTATACTTCAGGTGACCATGATTTTAGTAGGGAACTCCTTCAAAGTGGTGGACATAAATTTTCTACGTGATTCAATAATATCCACTATTCAAGCCCTTGACAACACCAAACCGGCCGATTGCAGGAGGCAGTCCTGGCGCTCGGCCCTCGGTGTCGTTTTGTTGAGGGTCGCTGCCTCGCTAACATAGACAAAAATGAGTGGTGCACCTACCCCAAAATGGCACCATTAGTTTTAACCCACAGCCACATGAGGATTCCTATACCACCGGGCAACGAGAGCCTTGGGGCCCTTTGTTGACTCAATTTGCTGGGGGCATCAGATATTTGTTGGCCCGGAATTTGTAAGGGAGGTTTGTTTCAGTTGGTTTGAGACGGTGATTTGAAGAACTCGTGACTAAGCCATTAGCGAAAAGAGCAACTATTTCTGGACATCTGATGACTCCAAAGCTAACAAGTGCGATGCACATTGTATGTAGCGCAGTTGCCCATATTGTTTACACCTTGGCCTCCAGGTCCATCTTTCTTTTCAAGTCGACCCTTTGGGATTGTTCTCTGCTGGGTTGGGCGAGGCTTCCTTTGGAGGGGCATGCCTATTTGCGCTTGGTCAATTCCACGAAATGGTGGCCGTACGCACTTTCAGGACTTTCGGGACAGGTTTGTTTTTGGCTGAGTTTGAGGTAACGATGCAAAGTTCCCTTAGGGACAGTGCAAAGTGTCGACCACTGCCCATGGAGGGAGGTGCTGGTAGCCTTGCCCAGTTGTGCCAAGATCCACACCTGGGTTCTAGCCGAAGCTATGGGTCTGCTTGAATCACGTGTGTCCTTCTTGAAGGCGGCAAACAGAAAGCGCAAATGCTGACCTCAGCCTGATACTGCCCTTGCCTGCTCATAGTTTTGGGCTTGACAGACCTTGGCTGCAAAAGACGTTTGCTATGTGTTGTTTAAAGAGGTATTTGTACATTTGACGAGGATTCCTTTGTGCGGCTCTTGCAGTCAGTTCCAGATTTGGGGCCAGAAAGTCGGAAGCTCTTCCTCCAGCAACGCGTTTGTTTTGCTTATTCCTCAAAACATGTTCCCCAGTCGCTGTGGCTAGCGCAAACTTCTTTCAGCTTCGTGAGCGCATCAGAATGTTACAACAGCTTCAGGAAAGCTTGCCACTATATCATCGATGTGTTGTTTTTTTTTCATTTTTGTTGCTTCTTTTTCAGTTGGAAGCTTGCTCGCGCTGTCAGCACCGCCTGTAGTTCCGGGGAAGGGGGTCCATGCCTTGTCAAGGTATTTTATGTGCATGTTAAAGGGAGTCAGGAGCCAACCATCAAGGAAAACACCCAGGAGACAACCCTAAAAGGCTCTGAATTGCGTGAAGGAAATACAAAAGGCACAAGCCGAAAGCTGCCGATGTTGTGTCGTCCTACAAGGAAATATGCAGTTTATCTCATTACAAGTTAATTTGAGGGGCCATGTTGTATTGTAGGGATGCTAAATATGAACCACGATGTTTTAGAATATTTTCTACGGATGTCCAAAGCATGGGTTCTATGGAGCGGTCTGCAGTGCTTCTCTCAGGGCGGAGCGCCAAGAAGAAGAGCGAAGGCGGAAACTGCTGGAGGAGGAGACGCGGCCGAGCGTCCCATTCGAGCGGAGGGGGTCGAAATGCGCGATGGGGGAAACACGAACTCAGTTTTGTCAAATGTGTGCAAAAAGACAGATTTACCCAAATGGTCACACATGTTGGCAATTGTTACCTGCATGGATTGTGTGCGCCGGTTGTAAGGGTATTCGCTTTGAGGTTGGTTTAAATGACAACCCATAAAACAACCACCACTTTGGAGATGAGATGAGTTATTGTAGTCGCAAAAGTGTGGTGGGCTCCAAAAGTGGTAAATCTGCTGAAACCGGCAAGTTGCACCTGGATCTTCAAGGAAATTCTCTCCGTGTCTCAGTTTTCCAAACATTGCTCCCCATGCACGTGAACATGGAACCCCACAACACCCCTCAATTGTAGAGGAATATCCTTCTAGGGATGAGAGCTTTTTGATGTTCTGTCTGTTCATTTGCAGAGTAGCAGCGCTTCCAGTCACCAAGCAAAGGACGCCAACGCTGGCAAATCATAGAAGTAAGAAGCCTTGGTTGCCTTTTTTCTGTGGCAGCTGGAAGCACGGGGTAAGTGTTGAGTCTATACACATATGTACACATGTCTTCTGTGGAAAGCGTCCCCATTCTTTCCGGATCCTTCGTTTTCAGGAAGCCTGCAAAACCCAGGGGAAACAGCTGGTGCTTGACAAGAACGATGGTAGAATGGTTGGATTTTCCAACGCCTCGAAGTATCTCAGCCGTGATTGATGTCCTCAAGGTCCCAGGAGGCGAGGACAACAAAGTCCAGGTCCTGGCAGGTGAGCTTCGGGTCAGCAGATATGATTTGGTCATCATGTCCAGTCTGTCCAATTCATAAAAACATGTGCGGTGACCAACCACTTCCCCTTGGAACTAAAGAAGCAATTTGGTTTACCTGTGGCTCGCCTGGAAGAACTGGGATTTGAAGGAATCCATAGTTCAGGTGCTGAGAACCATCATGAATGGAGTACGTCTGCTGGAAGGTCCGGACCATGAGTTTTCAGCCCAGGAGCAGCGCCGCAAGGCGGCCCAGGAGGCGGAGCGCCTGAAGGCGACCGAAAGGTTTCGACCGCCGAGAACGTTGGGATGGCACCTCGGAGTCTCCACTAAAACCCAAAGAGAGCGAAGAACCCAACTTGTCACATGTTCTTGTAGGCAAAAGTATTGAGCTCATGCGATTGAGTCGACACGGGAGAAGGATGCTAGTGAATGGGAGGGGAGGACGGTCGTTGGTTCAACAGGCGTTGCTTGTTTTGCTCAACATTTGCCAAACGCATCTGAGAACAGATGCCTCCATTTCCCTTCGTTCCTCTCTCCTTCCTCTCTTTCACCTTCTTACCAATCCAAAAGCAGTAGATTGGAGAAGGAAGAAAGAGATTGGGAAGGAAGTGATGGATGGAAGAAGGTGAAAGAGGCATGAAGAGATAGGACTTGCCTCTTCTCTCACCTCCTTTTCCCATCCATCCTCTATCTCTTTCCTCATATCCTTTCCATCTTGATGTTTTTTTTGTCTCAACTTAAACTGTGCCTGCCAACCAGCATCAACCAGGAATCCATAAGATTTATCTTCACACACACACAGCCCACCCAAGCGCATCCAAACACACCTTGGGGAAGACTGAAATGCGTCTGTCGTTTTTAGGGGGACCCACCAACATGGCCTCGGTTTTCCTTTTGCTTTCCTTTTAAAACAAGTGTGTACCTGGACCCTCACAAGTCCCACAAAAAGAAGGGTTATTTCTCCAAAAGTATGGGGTGAATTCCCTTTTTTTATGGGTAGTGTGAGGGTCCAGACCCAAACTCGGCCAAACCGGGAAAGGTGGCGTGCCAGGTGCAGGCCGCCTTCGAGCAGAGAAAGAAGGAGGCGGAGGACAACCAGTCGGCTCACCATCGCCATCATGTGGTTTGTCAAAACTTGGGTAGCCCCAAAATGGGTTGAACCCTGGTAACCCGGTAAATGCAAAAGGACCAAAAGCTGGCGGCTTCTGTTTCAGTTTGACCAAGGATCCAAAGATCCCGTTTGAGTGGGCGGGTTGTTTCATGCCGCGCACATTGATCATCTCGGGTTATTGCAGAGGTTTGCAGGACCCGCGGACTGGTGGGATCGCGTTGGTTCCAATTCTTTGGCAGAAGGATGCAATGTACACTTTGTGCTGAATCGGCCGGTCGCCTCCCGCAGGAGCAACGTCTGCGAGAAGAGGAGGAGTGGCGAGCCAGGAGCGGGCTGAGACCCAGGGACGCCTGCAATCGGTTTGGAATCTTGCAAATTGGGTTCCTGGACCCTCAAAATGCCATTACAAAAATGTTTATGTCTCCCAAATTTATGGGGCGAATTCCCCTTTTTTAGGGGTAGTTCGAGGTCCGGGTTTTGATTTTTGCTTAATTTGGTAAATCAAGTTCAGATCGGTGATCACTTTTGGGAAGGCTTCCAGGCGGCATGTTGTGCCCCTTACGTAATGGCTGGCTTGTTGATTTTCCGTGGTGCCTGCGTGCTGCTCGGCTGAAGAGAGATACTGAGCTGTTTTTGGATGTGCCGAGGAATGGCAATATACCTTGCTTTGCACCGAACAGCGGCGATTTGTTTCTTCGAAGTGCTCAGGCCTGTTCTCACGCCATGGCAGTCCGAGTAAAAATCCACCTCACGCCATGTCCAAGCGTCTACGCCACATCCCAACCCCCTTTAAAATGGAATTGGGGGAGGGGGGGTGACCCCTGGAATTCCATTTATGGTGCCATTTTCCCTTTTGTGGGGAAGAGCAAATAAAAGGAACAGGGGGACCCGGGATTACGCCACCTCAAGCCTTGGGAGCTCCACGCCTCGGCAGGCTGGTCGAGCGGCGCAAGAAGGAGGCGGCGGAGGAGGAGTGGACAAGCGACGGTGGGGTTGGCTGAAGGAAGGTTCGGGTCCTTTGCCTTTCAAGCTGGGTTTACAGCTAGGTTTTATACCTGGAACCTCAGAAAGGAAGTTATTGCTTTTTGCGATTATTCTGCTTGTTTGCTTGATAGGCGGAAAGAAAAACCAGAACGTGCGCGGAAGTGCAACTTATTCTGCTGTTTCATGTTTCAACCAGCCCTGGGACCATCACGAAGAGGCCGGAGCGGAACAAAGCGACTTGTCGAAATAAGCCTTTTTGACAGGCATGAGCGTTTTGTTCTGCTTATTTCGGAAAACACACTGTTGTTTTTTTGGTTTAAAGGAGTATCCCAGTGTGCGCTTCAGTTTTTAGGCTTGGCACGCCCTGTTTGGCCAGTTTGTTTTTTGGGCCCCTTTGCCTGGATTGTTCAAAGCAGGGAAGTGCACAGGAGGATGTTCGAAGACTAGAATCCTTTTGCAAAGGCCCCTGCCCACTTCCGTCACGGGTTTTTATCCCTACGAATTACACATGATTGGTCATATTGAGCAATCCTGTCTGCTTGCGGCCGATCTGAACCCGGTATGGCTGTCACTATCCGAATCAATTTTCAGTTGTGGAAGCGATTGGACGAACCCACTTTGAGCCATCTTCCTGAACGCCTATTTTGACAGAAGCTGCGGCAATTCTTAGTTGTAACCCGGCTGTCAAGTTGTGCCGGGGTGTGTTCTGGAAACACCCATCCAAGCATTTTGATCCAGAAGCAAAACTGGGAAGAAGAGGGCTGGTTCCATCAACCTGTAAAACCGGTTTTCCCGGATATTCTTGCTGTTGCTTTTGTGCTGGGTCTCAGTAGGGGAACCAGGGTTTGGGAATGAACCTAATCGCCTTAAACGAAACCACCAGTGGGATGGTAGCAAGTAAGTTCATTTGGGAGGGACAGGGGGGACTCGCAACTGTTTTTCCCCATGTCCTCTCATGGCAAGGTTTTTGATTTTGACTCAGCTCAATATAGTCACATGGGTGTTTCTCAAGGTGAGGGACCCCTAAAATGGTGGTTGATGTCCTAGTAGGTGTCCCTTAAAACCGTTCAAAGGGGGCCCCTGCTTTGAGACCCAGCTGAGAATGGCGCTTTTCCTTGGCGTTTCTTTGTCAACACTCCCGCAAAAATGGTACCCTCCAAAACACACACACACAGACAGACAGACAGACAGACAGACAGACAGACAGACAGACAGACAGACAGACAGACAGACAGACAGACAGACAGACAGACAGAGACAGACAGACACAGACAGACACAGACAGACACAGACAGACACAGACAGACACAGACAGACACAGACAGACACAGACAGACACAGACAGACATAGACAGACACAGACAGACACAGACAGACACAGACAGACACAGACAGACACAGACAGACACAGACAGGCACAGACAGACACAGACAGACACAGACAGACACAGAGACACAGAGACACAGACACACAGAGACACAGACACACAGAGACACAGACACACAGGCACACACACACACAGACACACAGACACACAGACACACAGACACACAGACACACACAGAGACACACAGACACACAGAGACACACAGAGACACACAGAGACACACAGAGACACACAGAGACACACAGAGACACACAGAGACACACAGAGACACACAGAGACACAGACACACACACACACACACACACACACCAAGGAGAACCCTCAAGAAAGAACACGCAAGGGGAATGACCCTCAACAAGAAACACCATAGGTGTTTTTTTGGCTGATTTGGATGAAAAGTAGGTCAGGCGATTCCTGGTTGACCTGGTGGTTTTTAAGCATCTACCAGGGAAACCCATCTATTTTCAAGCAAAAAGGGAGGCACTGCCGCGTAACGATGTGTCAGGAGGAGCGGCTGCGCCGCGAGGAGGAGGACCGAGCCACGTGACGCGAGTCTGCCACCTAGGTCCCCCAGTGCCCTTTCTCGCCCTTTTTTGGTTGGGAGGGTCCCCTGAAATAGACAAACATGACAAAACTGTGATTAGCCATGTATTCAGGTGTCATCAGGCATGTCGCGATAGTGACTGTCCTGTGCATTTCGCTCAAGTATTTGGATCCGTCGCAGCCTCGGATGAGCGGTGTCCCCACGTCGATCACCTACGTGTTGGAAGAGAAAGAGACTTCGGCCCGGGGCAGGTTGGTGGGAGTGCCCGTGCAGTTCATCGTCAACCCAGGTTGCGGGTATCCTTTTTCCTTTTGGCTTGGATTGTGGTTGTTTGGTTTCTTGTGTGTGGGAAACCCTGATCTTTGGGACCGGGGATTTTGGGGTCTTTCTTTTGTGGACCCGAACTAACCCATTGGCTGGGCACAGGTCCTTGCCCGGAAACACAGGTTGTCAGCCGTAGGTTCCTGCGTGCTCGTGACCTACGACTAATACAAGCACTATGACGTCAACCCCGCGAAGCTCCATGCCGGACTTCGTCTACGAGGATTTCGAGGAGAGTTCGGCAGGTGGCGGTCGCATGGGTGATGCTCCCGATAGGGACACACCTCGCGAGCGCGGCAGGTTTGTGGACGACAGTGATGATTGAATGCTTCGTCAGGTTACTGATAATGAGGAGCTCGCTCTGATAGGGGCGGCCCCGCGATAATTCCGTCAGGACAAGGACGACTTCATCAGCTTGGCGATGAACTTTGGAAAGTCATCTGGTGGCTTCGAGGAGCCTCATCCTATTCGGTCACCAAGGGCTCTTGAGCCCGCTCAGTACAGCACGCTGAGGAGAACATCAATCGAGGACAGGATTTTGAGCATCAGTTGATGCGGGCTCCAGGCATGAGTTTCATGGATATCTCAAACCATTTCAGGCCAGGATCAGCCGCGCAGATGAGGATTGGGATTCCCGATCTTGTAGGACCAGGGCTCATCAGAGTCGGCCAGCACTGAGGGGGCTGGATGAGGTCAGTCAGGTGCCGTTAGGCCTTTCTGGTTTTGACTCTATACCCAACATTCCTCCTTTCCCCAACATCACTTTCAGGGGCAGGCAGAGGCATCGTTGGCATCGAGGGTCTCTATTCTCAAGAAGGAGACTAAGGGTCACAGAATGTGCGGGCCATGAAGAAGATCCAGAAGCTTGAGGATGAGAGCAGGGCCGGTAACGCGGGACAGGCAGGCTTTGATGTGCTCTGTCTGGAGGTCAGATCTTCGAACGACCGCGGACTGACTAATCGTTCTCAGTCAGCTCAGCCAGCCCAGGCAAGAGTGATGGGAATTCCTATCGGGGCAATCGCGGAGGCGTCATATCGGGACCGCCCGGCCCATGATGATCAAGATTCTGCGGTGCTGATGCAGATGCCGATCACGGGGAAAGTCGATCAGGGGAGGGCAGGCCAGTAATCCTGCTTCTTCTGCGGCTCCGAGGAATTCCGGAGAGCCTGATGAGATTTGTTTCAAGGATGAGGCCAATGCTCGGCATACCTGCGTTATTTGCGAGCGAAGGTTCTGCGTGTCATGCATGGGGGATGACGGGCAGTGCATGGATTGTCAACTCTTGAGAATGAGATGCAGTGTGTGTCGCAAGAACGTCCAAGCGGTGTCGATGCATCAGTGCACTGACTGCGGGAAGGAGAATTGCGACTCACATACGCTCTCGGGGTTTGATGGCCTGGGACCTGGTGCAGCTACCACCGTCTCCCGGCACTCACAATTGCTGCCATGCCTGCCGCGGATACTGTGGGAGTGGCCAGCCTGGCATTTCTCAGCAACGCCTGTCGCCACAATCCGGCGCACAGTACGGAGCGGCCAGTTTCTAGACCCGGATACGGGGGCGAGGGGACGGAGGCTTGCTTCCTGAAGACATCAGGGGAGACGATGGACGGAACTGGTGCACAGAGTGCACGGTGTGGCTCACGCTGTTCTGGAAGACATCCATGTGCGAAACGCACGAGCGCTACACCGACGCGCGGCGTCTTGAGCGGGAGCACGACGAGGCGGAACTCAACGACGTAGAGGGCGCGGACGGCCAGCGCCGCAGCGTGTCCGAGCTGTTGCGCCCGCTGCTTGGCTACGGCCCTCCTGCAATTCATCTATGACTTGCAGATGTGGAGCGAAAAGCGCGCGAAGAGGAGAATTGCCGAACAGCGGGGCACAAGATGCGGCTGATGATGTCCCAGCGCCCCATGTCTCCGCTGTACTGGCGCGCCGCACTGGCCGGGCTGCAAGACCTGGTGTTCGCCCCTTGGGAGCTGAGCCTCGCAAGCAGTTGCGGGGCCCCTGGCCACGAGAAGACGAAGACGCAGAGGGCGAGCCCGCTGGCTGCTTCCACTTCTTCACTCGGCTTGAGTTCCAGGACGGCAGCAAGAAGGCGGGCACGCAGCGCTACCACGGCAGTCACGGCAGCGGCCGGAATTACTTGAAACATCGACTGGAAGCGACGGGCCTCGCCAGATCGGCCAATCGACAGCGCCTCCAACTTGGCCGCCTATGTTCAAGGCTCCCAAGAAGATAGCGCTTTGAGTGGAACGTAGCGACAGACCGCCTTCAGATGATTCAGCTACATCACGCTGCAGAGGTGGCCGAGAGGCCGGGCTTCGGGCTTACTTCCCGGACCTGATGGACTGCTTCCGCTGCCACCAGGACTTGCAGGCGTTTGACAGTCAGCAGTTGTTGCTCATCTATGGCGAAGTATGTGGCAAGGTGGTCGGACAGCAGCTTCCAGGTGGATGAGTGACAGCGCAGCTGCCACCCCTTCGAACCCGACATGGTACTGGAGCTCTGCAGCAACCACAAGCAATGGGAACTGGGGACGCATTGAGGGCGCAAGAACGATGGTCGTCCCAGTTGTCTTTCCCTTTTGTTTCTTTTCTTGTCTGTTCGAGCCATGTTCGTGTCATGCTATTAACACGCGCAGCTACCTATCTGTTAGATTCTCCGTCTGTCGGGCTTTCCACATGTCAAGATGCCAGAAAAACCTTTGGCGTGCGGGGCCGTCAGGTGCGGCGCCGGCAGGGACGCAGCCTGCAGACAAGACGCCAGGGCCCACAATAGCACGCGTGGGGGCTAACAAGTCCAGGCCTCCCTGACTTGAAAGAGGGCTGGGCGTGCCGGGCTTCAGTTCCTGCCTTTTGGCCAACAACGCTTGACGGGGATTTTTTGGTACTGTTCCAAGCCCGGAGGAAAACTGATAAGTCACACAAGGCTTTGCCTGTGAGGCGGGCGTGGCCTTCAAGGCACAGTTTTTTGCAAGATTGTTAAGGCGCCGTGTGTTTAAGCAAACGCAATTAAGCTTGCAGCAGGGAGGGCTCAATCCCTCGTCCTCCGCTGGTCGGGTGGTGCTCATGCCCCGCCTGCACTGCTGAGGCGTGTTGGTCATGTTGCTTCTGGACTACAGCTGGGCTGCTGGCACAGGTCACTCTGAAGTTGTACGAGTGAGAGAGGGCGTGGATGAGTGGAGCCAGTTATGATTGACGTGTGTTAGGAAGCATGATTTGCCTATAGGCGAGAATGCTGTCATTCAGTTGTTTTGTTGATGATAAGAATAAGAACTCGCATCTCTAATGCAAACAGTAGTGACCCATTGTCGTTACGTGGACCCTTTCACTGGGTATGTTGGACAGCGTTGCCCCGACTAATTCGGGGTGGTGGCAGGAATTTAATGCCCGGGATGTCGCGCAACTGCCCATGTGGGTTTGCTCCACCGCTAACGGCGGTAGTGTCCTGCTGTTTGCGGACGAATGTGAGCTTTATTTCCTTTCAGTAAACGGCACGCTCAGCCCGTCTGAGACGGACTCCTCATGAGGGGGGTGTGACTAGCCATGTATTCAGGTGTCATCAGGTCCTGTGACGTGTGGCTCAAGTATTTGGACGCGGCCTCATCGTCGACCCAGGTTGCGGGTATCCTTTTTCCGTTTGGCTTGGATTGCGGTTGTTTGGTTACTTGCGTGTGGGAAACCCTGATCTTTGGGACTGGGGATTGGTTACTGTCGTGGGGTCTTTCTTTTGCGGCTTGTTTACCCGGCACAGGTCCGTGCCCGAAACACAAAAACTGAAAAATCGGGTACCCTCTCTACTGGAGGACCTAGTGGCTGTTCTTGGCGAGTTGTTTGCCTTTGCTGTTTTTGGGCTCTGTTTTTGTTTCTTTTTTAGTAGGGGGCTGCAAAAAGCAAAGTTGTTTGCTACCATACCAGTACCAAGGGTTGTGAAGTCTTGGATCCCCGGCCCCTTAAAAAGGGAATTGGGGCCCGGAAGTCCACGGTCACATGCGGGGTAGACAGAGGGACAACAATCAGCTTCACTCTAAGGAAAGAGCAGAGAGCCCTCAACGAGGGAAGCCGCAACAGGTTTGGATTTCAGGCAGTTTCAGGCAGAAACAAAACAGCCCAAAACAGCCTGATAAACCGGATGTGTTGAGAGGTGTGCGCCAACCAAAAATTCAAAACCGCCCGAAATTCCCGGGAAGCACCCCGTTTGCGCGATCCCCCACAAAGGGCCGCCGGTATTTAGAGGATGTGTTTCAATAGTTTTGGAATTTGCCTGATGTTGATTGACCTCTCACAGTCGATCCGGGTTTCAGAAGCCTTTAGAAGGGAACCAAAGCGAAACCCTGGCCCACATGCGAGTGGATCCCCGCCAGAGGGGTTCTTCATTTCCATACGCAAGAAGGTCTCACCTCAACAGTGATTTGCGCACAGAATCATTTCATCTGAGCTGCAACGGAAGTTCCCAGGAGAGGCAGGAGCGCAAACGAAAGCGTGATGCACTCAGATTCCACTGCAGCAGCCAAGATTCGACCCTGGTTCATCTTTTATGGCCCATTTGGATTGTTTCTGGGAGGTAAGGCCTGAAACACTTGGGTTTTCCTGAAGCCTTTGACCTGGAGACGTGCCGCATGCACTGCGTTTTGTAGCAGCGAGTGCGGGGAATGTGCAGACAATGAGTTTTGGTTTGGGGTGCCGACATGTGCCGTGATGATTGAACAAGGATGATCGTCAACCGTTCGTTTGGGATTTCAGGCCATCCTGAGGGTTTTTCAAGGACCAATCACCATGATCCATCGGAGTCTGAGCATAGCATAGTTGCCTGGCCACTTTTGCACAAATATTTGATGATGCTTGGCAATGGTGCTGTTCAGGCAGGGGAGGCACACAACTCCCCCAATCGAAGCAGCTTGCAAGTTGAACTGAAATCAGCATTTCCCCATGTCAAAAAGCAGTCGTTGAGGCATGCTGGTGCCTCAAAATACGTCACTTGAACCTTTGTCTATTGAATTCCCGTCAGAAGTTTTGATCTCTGCTGCCATCCTTTGCTCCCAAGCTTTCGGATTCGCAGTCCTGGAATTGGCTTTGTCGAGGACTGTTGGGAGCCAGGGCCCAGGTTCGACAGGAACCTTGGAGTTCAGATCCAAAGGGCTCTGAGAACCGTTCTCTGGTGAGGCTCAGGAAGCCACAGGATTTCCATTGCCCGAGGCAAGGAGCGCGCGGAGCGTGACAAGTATGAGCGAGGTCACGAACGGGGGCGCTCGGAGCGGTCGGACACACAGGACAGCGGAAATGGAAACGTGTTCCGCCGCGCGCCGCTTGATAAGTATGGAAACCAACGGGGAAGACGAAAGATGGGTGGCTCGTCTTGTTCTTGTTTTTGAGGGAGCCCTTTTTGGTTTCATAGGCAATCCAAGGGGAACACCACCATATTGGGTCCCCTAAAAAGCACACACCCATATGTGCCAAGCTGGAACGGCAAGGACGCCATTGATGACCCACACACACACACACAAACTGGTGATGGATCTCCGGAATGGCTGCAGTGTGAGGACAGAAAACGAGACGACATGCCTCGGAAGAAGGAAGCTGAGGAGGCGCCCGAGCTTCTCGTTGGCCAGGGAAGCGACTGCGTGTGGTCCCGAGAGGCGGCAGGTTCTCTCGGTGGGACGGGTTTCCTTCAAGAAGTTCGGAGATAACACACAGACGCACCCGGAGGTAGATTATGTTTCCATGACCATCAAAGGTACCAAAGGAGTGTGGTTGCATGGTTGTACAGCAGGATGTCAACTCGGATGTATATAATCGTTGCGCAACGAGAGACGCTTGGAGGGCGTGCTGAGATTTGCCAGGTCCACCATGATACACGTAGGTCAAGCGAGCTGCCGATGAGTGGATCAGTTGTTTTGCCTTTGAAGTTGTCGGTGCTTTCATGGTCCCTCGGCAACCCGTGCATTGGGATGAGTATCTCGGATACCATTCACACAATTTGCTGTGCCCGGGCTGCTTGGCTGTGCCCCCGCTGTTTGGCTGTGCGGGTGGTTGAGCCGCCCGAGCAGAAGTGTCGTGTTTTTGTTGTTTAGGGCAAGTTGTGAAGACAGTACTCGATAGGGGAAATTCACAGGATGAGCAATGAGCACTTCTTGTTGGCGTACCGACATGAAGAAATCATACCGCATAATTTCGGCACAGGCCGCCAACGATGTACATCTCATCTCCTGTTTGGGGAAGTTTCCTAAGGAGTTTGTAGGTTCGTCTGAGGGGGAGTCTCGTACCCCAAGGTTGCAAGTGAGCAAACTACTTAAACACGCTAAAGCCTGGTGTTTTCTGTTGTGAGGTGAGGTGCACAGAAGTCCCAAAGGGGCCCTGGTGACTTGCTTGCCATCGAGTGTATCAAGCCCTTTCCACGCCGCCTATTTGGGCTCGTCTCGTGGGGCACTCCCTGAAATGGTTGGCGTCTCTCTGATTTTCCAAACACCCCTCGAAAAAGGTGTTGCTCTCCAAATCAACATGGAGTCCAAAATCGGGGTCCCCCCCACAAAGGGCAGTCCTCAAATGATTTATTGGGTTCCATGTCAAGAAGTTGCCTTAGGTTTCGTTTTTGGGTTTCCCTATGTCGGATTTCCTTTTAATTTCCTTATGGTTTCCCATAGAGAAACCGGGGAGTTCAATCCCGCCGTTCAGAACCGCGAGCGGAAGCGGCAAGCTTCCATGGATGCCTTTGAGCAGGCGGAGTCGATTCGGAAGTGGAAGGCACCCTTGGGATGGTTTTCTAGCCCTCAGGGTCATGACCCCTCCCCGGACCCGCCAGTGGAGAACCCCGACCCCTCAAGGGCCCTCAAGGACAACCCATTTGAAGGGCCCAAAAACAGTCGGGACTTTTTGGGGGACGGACTTTCCGAAACCAGGGTCCCTCCCTGGGCATCTTTTTGGGGGGGATGGCTGTTGGATGGCGTGTGAAAGGGAAAGAAGGAAGCCAAGCACCTTGAGGATTTGGGGTGTGCCAACGGCTGAACGCTTTGGGGTCCCTGCCCACATATCCGGGTTGCTTTTAGAGATGCCACCTCGTGGTTCGGATGTGCCTGCCAGTGATTCCATTTAGAACCTTTATAGCAGGCAGCGAAGGGAGTGTGTTTGAGGGCAGGTTTCTTGGGGGATGGCAAAGGGCTTAGATTTGTTTGAGGCCACTTTCTTGGGGCTGGCAAACGGAAGTCTCAACATGAAGCACGGTTTCAACCACTGGCCAACCGAATCTCTTCGGAAACCACGGAGGGTGCGGCTGGAACGTGCAATGGGCTCCGCTCGAAGCTGGAGCCAGAATTCTGCGACATGCTCCGTTGAGTGGGGAGCGTTCGTTTTGTTGAATTCCAGCCATTCCAGCATTTTCTTTGTTCAGAAGTCCTTTGACGACCTGGTTCGTTTGCAATCTGCTTCCCGCATGAGTGTAGAGGCCAGAATCAAGGGTTGGTCATCGCAGAGGCACCTTCGAAGGAGATATTTGCAACCTTTCTAGGGGTACCTTACCCATTCTTTCCAGGGATCCTTCTTTCTAGAAAACCTCAAGAAACCCAGGGAAAACGGCCGGTTTTTGGAAAGAACGATGGTTGAAAAGAAAGGGGAATTAACCCCTAGAACCTTGCCCCGTAGGAGGTACCAAGAAACCCTCTTGGTCCAAGGGTTGGATGACCGTAGTGATCCCGCTGCGTTTTTGCCGTGCGCTAGGCCTGCAAAAACGCAGATCCACACAAGGGCAAAAAGAGAAAGGCCGCGGCCCAAGGTTCGTCCTTTGGCACACAGCTGGGAGTTGGCAAACAGGAATTCGAACCTCTTTTAAGTATATATATATATAGTTAAAGGTTTGCTTAATTTGGGCCAGCATCCAAACATGTGATCCTTAGTTGTAAGCAGTAAGCACATGCTGATGTAAAATGTTTCTAACCTTTTTACCCGTCTCAGGGATATGTGTTTATTGATGGAGTTTGCTTACAATACAAGCAGTGTGGCCTTTGAACAGTGATGGGTGGTGAATACACAGGACATCTGCCAGCTTGGGCCTGTAGTTGAGCGGCTGAGTCGGCGTTAAAAGCCGGAGTGCAACCTGGAAGTCACGCGTGTGGCTCGATTTGGCGTCCTCAATGGATCAGACGACTGGCCTTCCCTTTCGCTGAATGGCCCGGGCTGGACGGCACCGATTTGCCTGCAATTCATGCTGACAACCGTTGATTCAACAATCAAGTTTGGTTTTGACAAAACTACTTTGACATCACGTCAAGGCGAAAAACGACCCTGGGCCAATCCTCATTACCGCAGAGCATGACAAGGGATGATTCTGATTGATTCTGATATTTTTTTGTATCCGGGGGTGTCAACCAATTTTCTCCAACACCTTGACCCCCAAGAGTGTGCCAGCCTTTGGACTCGGAAGACGTACAGCCTGCAAGCCCGGAGGATCCCTCGGTACCTTTTGGGGATAGGGTTTTTCAGTACCTCAGAAAGTACTTTGACCCTGTGGGAAAGAGATTCATCCCCATCCTCATCATCCTCATCATGTTCATCATCATCATCACCATGTTCATCAGCGTCATCATCGTCATCATCATCATCATCATCATCATCATCGTCATCATCATCATCATCATCATCGTCATCATCATCACCCTGCTTGATGCTTGGCCGAATCCCTCGCCCTGAACACCGAGTGTTGCCATTTGGTTTGTGCCAAACAGACACCCAGACCTTCAAAATTCCCTTAGAAACGGGTTATTGCCCCAATTATGGGGAAGCTGTCCTTCTCCATGGGTAGTTTGAGGGTCCAGGCACACCTCAATACATGTTTGGGATCTTTCGCCCATTTTGGGCGACCAAATGGCCGCAAATGTCTCCCGGGCTCTCTGCGATGGACGGCTAAGGAGGACTCAGATGACGAATCGCCTCCCCGCGGCTGGTGGGAGCCTCAGAGCTCCCTAAACCCTAAGGTCCATGATGTGATTTGAGGGGTAAATGCTTGTTTCAGGCTGCTTGGTTTACGTGGAAGCTGAAAGGGAACCGGCAACTCTTTTGCCGCTCCGCCGTTTTTTCTGACAACGCGAGAACCTTCTAAGGAGGCAGAATGATGCAAACAACTCTATAGGCGTCACCTGTTGTTTCCTTATAGCAATTTGGGGGCGAATGTTGCGACAAGTTGCAGTACTCCTGTTGCCGACAAATTGCTCGCAGGTTGCCAGGGCGACCAAGTTGGTTGCCCGGGTGGAAGGATTTCAGGTGAGTGGATTCGGATTTTGTGGCTCCCGAGCATCTCGAAAGCCGCCTGTTTGAGATCCCGAGCCTCGAAATTCTTACCATCCAATGTTAGACGTGACCCCATGGCTATCCATTGCGACTTTGACGCCCTTCATGTTTGCTTTGGTGGATGTTGAATGGATGTTTGGACTTGTTCTGTTTGCCAACTAATGGGTTTTCCATTAAACCACTAAAAGCTAAACTTCTAGCATGTTTGGCTGCTCATGCCTTCAAGGCATTTCACGGCTTTGGAGCTGAAGAAACAATTCCTCTCGTGAGGCCCATGATGCCTGGCATGCCGTGTGGTGGCCTAGTTGGGGATGGAAACAAAGGGAGTTGCTAGATGAGAATTTGGAGGGGATGACAAACGGAGGGTCAAAGACGTGGCCGTATATACATATATATATATATATATACATTTATATATATATATATATATTTATAGATATAAAAATATAATATATAAATATGTTTTAGCATGATCGAGGTGTAGACTACCACCTGCGTGAGAAAGCATGAATATTTGAACGATTTGAAGCAGGTTCTTTGAAGAGCATTTGTCAGCTCCGTGCTGAGGTTCAACCCCATGATGGCCATGATGGCAGCCGCCGCGCCGAACGCGGCAGCCGCCGCGCCGCACGCGGCAGCCGCCGCCCCGCACGCGGCAGCCGTGCATGCCGCGCCGCATCACGCGCCGCATGCCACTCCGCACTCCGGGCATCCGCACGCGGCCCATCCGCACACGGCGCATCCGCACGCGGGGCATCCGCACGCGGCCCATCCGCACGCGGCGCATCCGCACGCGGGGCATCCGCACGCGGCGCAGCCGCACGCGGGGCATCCGCACGCGGCCGCCGCAGCCCATCCGCACGCGGCCGCCGCGGGCAACGGTTCAGGCAGGATGGGTCTTCCGGCGTGGCAGAAACAGATTCGTTTTCTATCACATCAAGCTTCTATGGGCTCTTTGCACCTGTGCAACTGTTTCGAACCGATGGAGATGTGCGACAAACTCACGCAATCTCAGGAACCAAACAACCTCCTACCAAGGCCTCTCCATCGGGATCCTTGTCTGGGGGGGAGGGGGTTGGGTGTTGCATGAATGCTGCTGGATTTGGAAGGGATCGGGTTAGCACTGTGGGCAACTTGCGAATGTCAAGCTAAATAGCTTTGGAGATCACCAAGTAGCTCTTCCAGACTCCAAATCACTGGCAGACCCTATGGAGGTCTTCCGATTTCCTGGGCAAAGGGCTTGTTTAGGGTTGTTTAGGGGTTGGGTTTCCATGAAGCATTTGGCGCTGCAAAAGGAAGCGGGGGACACAAGCAGACCAGATTTCTCACCCTGCCTGATCTTTACCCCTGTCCAGTAAAGTTGTCAAAGACAGCCAGAATGAACAGCACTTGCAGTTAGGATTCTTCGCTTCTCTATCCTTCACGTTCTGGCAGTCTCAAGAGTCGACTCCCCAGCAAAGCAACGAAACTCACTTTTGCCAGAGCAAAGAAGCTGGATTTTGTGGAAGGTTTGAGAGTTGGCAAGGCTTACCGACCTACGACAAAATTTGCCGCCCCCTCAGTCTCTTGCCCAGCTTTTACTTCTTTTGCCCATTGCCATTGGCTCCAGTGTGTTTTGCTCTCCATGGAGCGGGTCCCAAAAATCCATTCATGCAGCTCCTGCCCCCAAAAAAGAAAAAAGCCCAGTGCCTTTGGGGAGAAATCTGGAAGCTGACCCAGGGCTCGGTTCCGCCAGGCTTTGGGTCCATGGGGCCCATGAAGGGCAAGCCCGGCCGACGCCTCGGCTTTGGGCAACCGGTCCGTGGGGAGCGGTCCGTGGATTTGGAGAAATCCGTGGGCTTCGAAGAGAGGCTTTGTTTCCTCAAAGACGAGCCAGATGACTTGTTTTGGACTGGACAGGGATATGATATATTCATTCGTAGCTTTGGAGCCTCGAAAGTTTGCAGTTGTTAACCTACGAGCCGGAGTTTGACTTGGAGGTCCTTGAGACTGTATTGGGCATGGCACGCAAGTGACCGAATCTATCATAGACACTTAAAGCTTAAAACAATAATAATATTAATAATAATAATAACAATAATTATTATTATAATAACAATTAATGTATGTATACATGTGTATGCGACGGGTCCTTTTTTGCTCAGGCGGTGTGCAGGTCGGCTTTTTGTTGACCACCGTTGGAGCTTCGATGCGCATTCCGCTTGGCAGAGCCCTTCTCAAGCCGTGCAGCTTGCCCATTCTGTCCACATCTGTGGTCAGCGTTTCATACGCCGGGTGTGCCTGTCATTTGGCCCTGGGTTCACTTGTGGGAAAAGTCGGAAGGTACGTTTGTTGCAAGTGCGCGTATTGTTTTGAACTTGGCGGTTTTGCAAAGCACGCACGTACCTCAGCTTGCAGGGTATTGCGAGCATGTTCTTTCACTGAGAGGAAACCATGAAGGACAGAACCTGTTTTGCTGAAAGAGTTTGCACGTTTCTAAACACATGCATCTTGAGAGTGCCGATGCACCCGTGAGAATATCTCATACATGCAACGTATATGTATCTCATACACCAGTGGAATCCGGCACGCTTGAACCGCAACTCCAAGGCTGCGGTGCCTGCGCCGGCAAAGGCGACTTCAAGGGTGCCGGATATGGCGGTGGCAAAGGCGACTACGGCAAGCCCGACTTCGGGAAGGGAGACTTCGGCAAAGCCGACTTCGGCAAGGCTGACTTCGGCAAGGCCGAGCGGTGGCTGTTTAAATTTTAGACCAAGAGTTGGGCCCGTGGTTTTGTCCTTTTTCCATGCCACACCCTTGTCATGTTGTTTGTTGTTTTTGCAGGAACTAGCCTTTTTCCGCCTTTGTCAGGCGGAGTACGGCAAGGGCGACTTCGCCAAAGTCGACTTCAAGGGCGACTTCAAGGGCCAAGGCTTCAAAGGCGACGGCAAAGGACCACCGCCGCCTTGGCGCTCGGCCGCCGCCACCCGACCCCCGCCGCCCCCACAGCCCAAGGAGGGCAAAGAAGGTGCCCACATCTTCCCCACTGGCGGCTTCTTGTTCGGAGGCAAGGGGAGACTCGGCCAAATGGGGATTGTTGCATTTGGCTTTAAGTCACATGTATGCCTGAATACTCAAGACTCAACCCATATACGCGGCTGTGAGCGCGTGTAGACACTTCTATGGTGGTGTCTGGGAGAGTGATGGATATGCATGAGTATGCCGTCTTTGTCCTTCCATGGTTTCGGTGTTTGTCCCGGAATTTCTGGAAGTAGATGGGAAACCTTAACCACCAAACCACCAATCAAAGCACCAATTGGAGGGAAGCTGGTCATTTGGGCGCGTGAGCACCGTGAGCTGAGGAAGGGGTGGTGATGTTTGTCCAGATGTCGGGCTGAGGCCGCGGTAGGAAGATGTAGGAAGCACCTGTGGGCAGCGTGGTCTATAGCGTGCGCGACAAAGAGGTTCACCTTCTGAGCTCACGCCAAGCAAAGCTCTAAACTTTGTGGCACTTTGCCAAGGGATGTTAGGACTTTAACTTTTTGCCAACTAATGGGTTTTCCATTAAACCACTAAAAGTTAAACTTTTAGCAGGGGAGCAAAAAGCAACCGAGCAAAGGTTTGGCTACAATGATTTAATGTTTGCCTTTCATTCTACCTGGAGTCTCCATGACCCTTTAAAAATGGTCCGATGACCCCTTTATTCTGGGTAATGACCCCTTTTTTAAGGGTCATGGAGACTCCAGGTAGCTCCTTTCAAAACCTGGGCAGTCGGGAGCCTTTGGGTCACTTCATAGTCCACCTTCATAGACATGGGCAGAGCCCACCAAATTGGGCCTGAAGAGTTGCCCCCAGACTACATTCGCAGGAGGATGTCTCCCCGAAAAGTTCCTCAACCCCGCGTTCCCATCAATGCTAAAGGTGCTTAACCTGGGCCCCTCGACTTCCGAGTGGAGCTCAGAGGGAGCGCCCGTGAGAATGGAGGGAGTCCTTCAGTTGCTTCCATGCTGCGAAATGCTCGAAGCGAATTCAAGGACAAACCATTGGCCAACCATTTGGAGGCGTTGTGATGCTCTTCTGTTCAGGCCTAAAAGGTTGCGGAAGGGACGTGTGAGTGCCGCCAGGAAGCTCCACTCAATGCCCAGTGGCTTTTTCCACATCGCCGCGCCATCTGGTGACAGCCATTTGACCGCGCCCCCTCGCCGCGTCCCGCCGCGGCGTCGTTGCTGCCTGTCCCCATGGCGAAGAGCAAGGGCTGTGCGCTCCTGGCGGGAGGTGGGGAAGCAGAGAAAAAGGCACTTGGCACATGGCAAGCTCTCTTCAGGACGGATTGTTCTTATCGCTTCTTGTTAAATCACCGGGGCGTCCCCAGCTCAGGAGTCTGAGTGAAAGTGTGTGTGTGTGTGTGAGTTGCCGTTGAGCATGTTGATCTTCCAGTATTCATGGGGACAACCGACTGCATGGCCATCCTCATGCCAATTTGGCGACCCCGACACGGGGCTCCCCAAAACACACAGATCTAAACATTTTATGCAGGGCTCCTTAAAAGATACATTTTGCCCACTTGAAACATGGCTTTTTCCACCAAAACAAAGGGAAACCATCATTGACAAGGCAATGTTCAGGCGTATAATGTGAGGATCCCTGTTATGGGAAGAAGCTCGCCATTTAAAGTTTGAGCAGCTCGGATTCACGTTCGAAGAGATTGAGCCAGCAATGATAGTTCTGGAAGTTGTGGCAGCTCAAGGCAAGCAGAGGATTGATTCCAAAATTGCAAGTGAACCTCTGGGGTTTCCGAAGTTTCTGCCGACAAAATTCAATCACCCGTGGCCCAGGGATTTAGGGAGGGCTCATCAGCTCCGTGGGGTGGAATTTGCACTAATATCGGCCAGCGGATTTGTTTCTGACATGAATGTGCCAGGGTGAAGAGTTACCATCTGCAGATGTACCTGAAATAACATGTCGGCGCCCACGGAACGATTTGCCATTTGTATCTGAAGGTTTCTCACCGTGTGGATTCATCTCAGAATTGAGGGAGCCATACAATAACTTCCCTTCGAGATCAGTTGAGATCCACCGAACACAGATATCCTCATGATTCCAAGAAGTGTCCCCGGCGCCACCTGCCAGGAACCCTATGGCTAAGATCCCACGCGATTGTATAGTCCACTGAAAAAATAGGTTTCTACCACCGATATTCAAACAAATGCCAACCCCTGTTGTCCCACTGAGATATCCATGCTTACATCCTACGTAGGTCTTGTTTGGGTGCAACATTTCACTGTTGGCAAAACCAACACAATCCGCTCATTAAACACAGGCTAATATATACCCATTTTTACAGTGGCATACACCACCCCCCCGCTCATTGAACACAGGCTAAACCCATTTTACAGTGGCATACGGTGGCTGATCCCAAGCGTATGGCTGTATATCCCAAACCTCATGGTGTTTTGAGGCTAGTGCTAGGTCCCCCAGTAGTGCCCTTTTACCAACTTTTCTTGGGGAGCGTTCCCCTACTAAAATAGACAAAACTGAAAAAGAAACGGTACCCTTATTCCAAGCTCCAAATCTGGAGGACCTAGGCCAGCTGTTTTAAACTATTTCCTTTCTGCTTTGAGCAAGTGAGAAAGCCCATATTGAGCGGAGACGTAGGCGCCGCGGTGGCCTTTGTGGCGCCTGCCACAGACAGCACCCGCGCCCTGCCGCGCGCGGGCGAAGCCGCCAGCCGCGCCAGCGCCAGCGCCAGCCTCGCCAACAGCGCGACGGCTTCTCGAACGGAGTGGCCGACGGGGTGTGGCTGTGAGACTAAGGGGGGAGGTTTCTTGGCAGTTTGTGACTCTGTGTTGTTTTGTTATTTTGCATTGATTGATGTATTTGTGTTGTTGTTTACTGATTTGCTTGTTCAATATATTTAGCTACGTATGTGTTCATTTGTGTGTGTGTGTTAGTTGTTTTGTATTTCAGTATTGTTGTATGTGTTTATTTGTTTTATGAGTTATTGGTGTAGGTCGTCAGTGATCCTGTCCTTTTTCATTGTTATTCAGTTACATGGTTCATCTTTCATTGGTTTGCTCTTCCTTTCCTTCGCCCTTTCTTTCTATCTGTTTGTTTGGCTGTTTGTCCGTCTGTTTGTCTGTTCTCTCTCTCTCTCTCTGTGTCTGCGTTTTGCATCCCTGCCTGCAGGTGTATGTGCATGTCTGCATGGTGCATGGGGTATGTTGCGTTGCTTGCCACGTGTGGATGACTTGGTGTGGTTGGCCTAGATGGTTCACCGTACTGGGTAGCAAGTAGCAAGAGCCTTGCCGCCTTGCCGCGCCTGGATTTAATCAGGTCTTTGATGACTTGATTAAAGATACCAATCACTCCGGCACACCTCTAGCCAGTATTTCGCTTGGGCTCAAGTGGCAGCATACTAAAGAAGCGATGAAGCAAATTGAATCTTGATAAACCCATCCGGAAGTTGATGTTCGTTGCTTTGTGATATAAAATCCAGTTTCCGCGCGGAAGACTGTGTCCAGCGGGGATCAAAGTCAGAAGGTCGGGTTGTTTCCCTTTCCGAGGGTTTGACTTTGATATGGTAAAATACTGGGGCCAGTTCTGTCAATGATGGACAACTTGACTTACAAAAAGCTGAAGACAATTCCATATGGAATTCGTACACTCCCGTTGCAAGACATCCCTTTTCTCACCATACAGTAATACATGTACAAGATAACACCTTTACCGAGTGACCGTTGTCCAAGACCCTGTTGGTTGGCCTTAAGCATTCTTGCAGGGAGGGTTGGAGTATCTTAACACTACGACCCTCCAACCATCAACCCGGAGCTGGCACGCGGCTTCACGGATCCGGCTTCGCTATCTCAGGGGCACCCGACTGGACCACCAGACCCCACGAATCAAGCAACGAATATATGCCTCGATGCTTATGGCCGGACCCTCCCAAATCAGTGGGCAGAGCTGCCTAGCCACGTGTCCAAAGCATCCTCAATCAAGTGCGGCCTAATCAATTGACCGGGCCCCTTGTGCAAGGCTCCAAGGTGCCAAGGGGCTGGTTGCAAGAACTTCCCACTACGCCCTGCGAGGTTCCCGGCCTCCTGGCCGGCGGCGTGGTGGCTGCTGTGCTGGCACGCCCCGCTGCTCGGAGAAATCGGCGCCATGAGCTTGTGAAGTTGCTGGGTCTGAGGTCCATTTGTCACGAGCTCTCAGTCCCGTTGTCTTTTGGGGGGAAGCACGTCGCCTCAGTTTTGACACCCTCATATCCTCTTGCTTTAAGGGCACCGGCTCAGAGTTCCCCAAGTACTAAGGGTTCCAAGTACCTTCTAAGCAGGTATCGCTGCCCCCTTTTGACCCGCAAAAAGCCATTTGCAGAGGGTACCTGGAAACCAACGGGACGCATCCAGTTTGCGGAAATTACGATCTCATCACAGGGTAAGCCGAGCTCAGGAGTCCTTCTGTCTTGCATGGCTTTTTTTGGGCCACTTCTAGCGACCTCATGGGATATCCCTCGCAACGCAACCCATAATGACGGTTTCTTTCTTGGGATCCTCCCTCAATATTGCAACCAACCACAAACCAGTGGAAATGACATGGAGTGCCTTATTGGCTATTCGCAATATTTAGGAAATCGACGGTGTTCAGTCCGAGTACATATTTGAAAGTCTCAGCATAATTTGTTGATAATCGCAGGTTGGCTTACAAGCAAGCAACTTAATTTGGAGTCCCTTGACGCCAACGAGAAGACAACACTACTGCAGATGGGCAGGGAGCCTAAGGCGGAATCTGCGTTTGGGGAAAGAACCTTTTCTGGGTTGCTTCTGTGAAGTATCGACTGTCCAGATTGCGTACCCTTCTTTTTCCCCTTTTCCTTTTGGGTGGGCTTTCCTTTTCACACAGCCTGTTTCCAGGGCTCGAATCCAACCGAGCTGCAAGCAGCCGTAAGGCCGCTTCACTGTGCGGACTCGGGATAAGCATTCAGCTGTCGGCGAACCGGGGGAACAGATACGTGAGTATTGGTTGGTTTGTATTGTTTGGCAAATTCACGACGAGACTCAGCTGACATGTGAAGGAGCATCCTTGCGAAGCACACAAGAGTTCCTCCACACAACGGAAGCTCGTGTCAGTTGAAGTAGCATGCGGGGGGCGTGCAAAGGGAGGGACTGTGCTGCATATGTGCAAAGCAAATGAGTCAAAGATTCCGGGCCCACAGACCTTCTCATTTCATTTCAATGAGTGGGAACAATAATCCGTTCTCAGGTCCAGGTGTTCATATTTGAACATCCAACGCAAGCTGGATGCTATTGAAGAGGGCACCAGTTTTGCTCGTCCCTTTGGCAACTTAAGCAGAGCTTCCGAAGCTACAAGTGAGGCATTCGCAATGATACTCAGACGGTGCAGGATGGTTGTTTCTGTGCAAGTAGAACACACAAGGACTGGTGCTGCGGTCAGTTTCGTGGAACATAGATGGCACTGGTTTGGGTTTGGTTTTAATCATCTACCAGTGCTATCGAATATGCCACTAAAGGTAGTCATACTTAGATGATCCGAGAGCTAGCTAAGCTGCTAAGTTGTTAGTAGCTGCATTATGGGTACAAGCCACTCGGCAATCCCCCAGACCATCAAAGTAGGCAGAGTAATATCCCACCGATCCGGGTTATCAGGCTCCCTTTAGGCACTTTGGCCGCAAAATGACCCCTGAACAGCACAACCAGTTTCTGCCTGGATCCGGCAATTGGGTGGATGACCACCCATGTGAGGCAAGATCACTCGCCCCAATTCTGTCGGCCAAATCTCACTTTTGGAGACTTTTTAAGTGGGGATCACTTTCGTTGGTGATGTCGTCCACGCGAGAGCCCAAGTCCCTGTTTCGGGCCACAGGCTCCTGCGGACCGGCGCTCGGCCCGACGAGCCTTCGAGGGCGAGCTAGGCCGGGCGCAGCGACAGGTGTCTTTGGTGGTTGCTATCCCTTGTTGGGGTTGTTTGGAAGTTTAAGGTTGAAAGCCACCTGTTTTGGGGGAGATTCCCTCCAAAAAAGACGAACCCATGTTTCGTCATATTTGAGGCATCGGCCTTTTGCAAGTGTCCAACAAGTGGCTCTATGCATATTGAACGCCAGCCGGCGCATTAAATATTGCTCCTAGCGCAAAAAAAACATTGGGACCCCTCAAATGGTTGTTTGTTTATCTATGTTGGCTTAGTGCACAAAGTCACACGTTGACACTGTCACACACCCACACAGAGAAGGCACACACACAAAACAAACAAACAAACAATCAACCAAACAAACAAACAAACAAATAAACAGACAGGCAGACAGACAGACAAACAAACAAACACACACACACACACTGAAAATAGCGCACAATCGTTGAAGTAGAACTTAGCTAGAATATTCAATCAGAAACAAATAAGTCGGCGGTGTCTTTTCATTTTGCCAATGCATGATGTTGGCAATTGCCCTTTTCCACATGATACGATTATTGTACCGCATGTCAACGTCTCGGCAAGTAGTTTTTGTCTGGCTTCACCTCCTCAACCTTGAGCTCGCGCCTGAAGCCAAACACTGCACAGCACCAGGTCATGTGGTTTCTCCGGGGCTCACACGGGCAAACAGACAGAATATAGCCACACGCGCGCAGTATCACACGATCACACACGATCACACACACACACACACTCACATAATCAGACGCTACGTATCGTACACAAAGAAACAAAACACTGACAGACCTGCAGAGAGAGAGAGAGAGAGAGTGCCATACGAGCGACAAGCACAGACAAGCAAGCACACACATGGACTGGAAGCGTGCTAACATATGTTCTTTGTTGGATGAGGCGCATACTCCTACAGTATATCTATCTTGTGAAGTTCTATCATATAACAAGGAGTCCCTCCGACCCTGGCCAGGAGTTCAGCCTCCCGTCGGATTTTGGGACCCAGCAGGTTTTACGGCCGACGGGGACGCCAAGGATTTCTACCGAAGGCGGGTGGTGGAGATCAAGCACGGCCGTGTGAGCATGCCGCTTGGCAGAACAAGATCAATGTCGTTGCATTCAGCGACCTGCTGCCTGCTGAAGACTCTGGAAATTGCTTCTAACGCGAAGCAGCTTTTGACAGCAGGAAGAGATCAGCATCAAGTCCATCCAGACTGTGTTTTGTTTCCCTGCGCCGGTCACCAGAATGTGCGCAGTTTTGGGAGCTGAGGTTGGCATGCACCGGCTACATCGTGCAGGAATTCTTCAGATTCCCAGGTCTTTTGTCGCCGTCCAGCGACCTGAAGTTCGCCGACATTCCGAACGGATTGGCAGCCGTGACCAAGGTGCCGGCGGTGGGATGGTTTCAGTACACGATCTTCTGCGGCATTTGCGACCTGTGGTTGATGCACCAGGTGCCCAGCAACCCGCCCGGCAAGCTCCAGACTCGGCTCTTTGGAGAATCCACTACCAACTATGAGTACGGATTCTTGGGCCTCCCGGGCTACTTGGGCGGCAAGGCGATCGCGGATGAGGAGACCAAGAAGAAGAAGCTGACCGGGCCTCAGTGAAAATGTGATATCGCCAACGGGGCAGAGAGAAAGTCAGTGTTGCGTTGTTTGTTTCAAGCTGCTATGATTGACTTTAAGTGCGAGCACACCGTTTTCATTTGCCATTGCCGAAGCTTTGTTCAACAAATGATTCATTCGATACAGCAATCGGAGGAATGCCGAGCTCGCCAACGGACGGCTGGCGATGATGGCCATCATTGGAATGTTTTTCCAAGATGGGCTCACGGGCTCTGCGTGGGGTGACTGGGCCAACTACACGGATTCGCCTTTGCGTGCCTTCGAGGGCGAGTTGGGAGTTCAGCCTCCCGTCGGATTTTGGGACCCAGCAGGTTTTACGGCTGACGGGGACGCCAAGGATTTCTACCGAAGGCGGGTGGTGGAGATCAAGCACGGCCGTGTAAGCATGCCGCTTGGCAGAACAAGATCAATGTCGTTGCATTCAGGGACCTGCTGCTTGCTGAAGCCTCTGGAAATTGCTTCTAACGCGAAGCAGCTTTTGACAGCAGCAAGAGATCAGCATCAAGTCCATCCAGACTGTGTTTTGTTTCCCTGCGCCGGTCACCAGAATGTGCGCAGTTTTGGGAGCTGAGGTTGGCATGCACCGGCTACATCGTGCAGGAATTCTTCAGATTCCCAGGTCTTTTGTCGCCGTCCAGCGACCTGAAGTTCGCCGACATTCCGAACGGATTGGCAGCTGTGACCAAGGTGCCGGCGGTGGGATGGTTTCAGTACACGATCTTCTGCGGCATTTGCGACCTGTGGTTGATGCACCAGGTGCCCAGCAACCCGCCCGGCAAGCTCCAGACTCGGCTCTTTGGAGAATCCACTACCAACTATGAGTACGGATTCTTGGGCCTCCCGGGCTACTTGGGCGGCAAGGCGATCGCGGATGAGGAGACCAAGAAGAAGAAGCTGACCGGGCCTCAGTGAAAATGTGATATCGCCAACGGGGCAGAGAGAAAGTCAGTGTTGCGTTGTTTGTTTCAAGCTGCTATGATTGACTTTAAGTGCGAGCACACCGTTTTCATTTGCCATTGCCGAAGCTTTGTTCAACAAATGATTCATTCGATACAGCAAATCGGAGGAATGCCGAGCTCGCCAACGGACGGCTGGCGATGATGGCCATCATTGGAATGTTTTTCCAAGATGGGCTCACGGGCTCTGCGTGGGGTGACTGGGCCAACTACACGGATTCGCCTTTGCGTGCCTTCGAGGGCGAGTTGGGAGTTCAGCCTCCCGTCGGATTTTGGGACCCAGCAGGTTTTACGGCTGACGGGGACGCCAAGGATTTCTACCGAAGGCGGGTGGTGGAGATCAAGCACGGCCGTGTAAGCATGCCGCTTGGCAGAACAAGATCAATGTCGTTGCATTCAGGGACCTGCTGCTTGCTGAAGCCTCTGGAAATTGCTTCTATCGCGAAGCAGCTTTTGACAGCAGCAAGAGATCAGCATCAAGTCCATCCAGACTGTGTTTTGTTTCCCTGCGCCGGTCACCAGAATGTGCGCAGTTTTGGGAGCTGAGGTTGGCATGCACCGGCTACATCGTGCAGGAATTCTTCAGATTCCCAGGTCTTTTGTCGCCGTCCAGCGACCTGAAGTTCGCCGACATTCCGAACGGATTGGCAGCCGTGACCAAGGTGCCGGCGGTGGGATGGTTTCAGTACACGATCTTCTGCGGCATTTGCGACCTGTGGTTGATGCACCAGGTGCCCAGCAACCCGCCCGGCAAGCTCCAGACTCGGCTCTTTGGAGAATCCACTACCAACTATGAGTACGGATTCTTGGGCCTCCCGGGCTACTTGGGCGGCAAGGCGATCGCGGATGAGGAGACCAAGAAGAAGAAGCTGACCGGGCCTCAGTGAAAATGTGATATCGCCAACGGGGCAGAGAGAAAGTCAGTGTTGCGTTGTTTGTTTCAAGCTGCTATGATTGACTTTAAGTGCGAGCACACCGTTTTCATTTGCCATTGCCGAAGCTTTGTTCAACAAATGATTCATTCGATACAGCAATCGGAGGAATGCCGAGCTCGCCAACGGACGGCTGGCGATGATGGCCATCATTGGAATGTTTTTCCAAGATGGGCTCACGGGCTCTGCGTGGGGTGACTGGGCCAACTACACGGATTCGCCTTTGCGTGCCTTCGAGGGCGAGTTGGGAGTTCAGCCTCCCGTCGGATTTTGGGACCCAGCAGGTTTTACGGCTGACGGGGACGCCAAGGATTTCTACCGAAGGCGGGTGGTGGAGATCAAGCACGGCCGTGTGAGCATGCCGCTTGGCAGAACAAGATCAATGTCGTTGCATTCAGCGACCTGATGCTTGCTGAAGCCTCTGGAAATTGCTTCTAACGCGAAGTAGCTTTTGACAGCAGCAAGAGATCAGCATCAAGTCCATCCAGACTGTGTTTTGTTTCCCTGCGCCGGTCACCAGAATGTGCGCAGTGTTGGGAGCTGAGGTTGGCATGCACCGGCTACATCGTGCAGGAATTCTTCAGATTCCCAGGTCTTTTGTCGCCGTCCAGCGACCTGAAGTTCGCCGACATTCCGAACGGATTGGCAGCCGTGACCAAGGTGCCGGCGGTGGGATGGTTTCAGTACACGATCTTCTGCGGCATTTGCGACCTGTGGTTGATGCACCAGGTGCCCAGCAACCCGCCCGGCAAGCTCCAGACTCGGCTCTTTGGAGAATCCACTACCAACTATGAGTACGGATTCTTGGGCCTCCCGGGCTACTTGGGCGGCAAGGCGATCGCGGATGAGGAGACCAAGAAGAAGAAGCTGACCGGGCCTCAGTGAAAATGTGATATTGCGTGACTCAACGGGGCAGAGAGGAAGTCAGGTACGCAGAAGACACAGAGTGTTATTCAAGCCAGGAAGGCTATAAGTCCCTCATGATAGCCGACAGTTCGTGGATTGAGTGTTACGTTCATTAATTTAACCTGCTTGTTTGACTTTAAATGCAAGCACCGCTGTTTATGGACAGCTGTTGGACAGTTCCTTGCTTGAATAAGGCCTGCGCAGCTTGTTAGGCCTGTGTCAAGAGCTCTTGCTTGCGTCCTTGCGCCCCAACTTATAGTCCACGAACTGTGGAAATCGCCTGGGTGTCTCCCCGCCCGAACATACAAAATCCAGCTACATGTCAAGTTCCAAACTGCCAAGTCTAGGTTCGACCGCTTGCGCCTCCCACAACTGAGGGATGTTGAGCAGTTGGCAAGTGGGGCGGTCATCCTTGCCAAGCAGTTGATGGCTGTCGACCTTTTCACTCTGAAGTCAGATGGTTCCACTATGTTCCACTCTTTGTTACATTGGGAGGGCATTGTGTGTCGCGTAGGAATGCGGAGCTGGCGAACGGAAGGCTGGCCATGATGGCGATCATCGGCATGCTACTGGGCAAGCAGCTGGCGCCCTTATCGATGGAGGGATTTACCTGGGATCTTGAAACCCAGCGACCCATATAATCCATCCATCGAGTAAATGGAGTCTCCTGGGATCTGGAGTTTCCCTGGCGTGACATGGACAATGGTTCCATAGGGCCAGTGTCGATCATAGGGAGCCTGTTTGTCCTTTGGCGAATCGGATCATGTTACCCAGTTCAATAATTCCCTTCGGCGTTTCAACAATCACCTTTTGAGGATGGGGACACCTGCATTTGGTGGATTGACTTAGTTGTACAGTCGGGCAGGATCCTGCACCAACCGTACTTGGGCAATGCAAGCATGTGGCGTAAATGACCAAGGCTGGATATGTGCACTCAAGTAAGTCTTCCTGTCATCGCCTGCCTCACCATATTCAAAGTGATGTTCCATGTTCGGTCTAGTTTTTACATAGGGCCGGAGGCTATAGGCGTCATTGGGCAGCTTCAATGCTCCAATGTTTTCCAGGGAACGCGGGGAGAACCTTGGGTTCGTCAAGCGGGTCAGGCATGCGGTTCGCTGTTGGCTCCTTCTGAACAAGCATGTCTTACCAACGGACAATACTCTTTGGGTATCGGTTTTTGGGTAGGCATGGTCGGCCCCAGTTAGGTTCTGACGTTTCAGTTTCAGTGTCCCTCCTTTTTTGACCCCAGCCTGTTGTTTGTCCCCTTAAACCGAATGTTCCAAATTGGTGGTTTCAAAAAGGAAAAGTTGGGCAAAAAGGAGAGATGGTGGTTCAAATGGTGGTTTCACATGTTTGTCCCCCGTTTCCGGCTGCGAGGTTCTTCCAGGATGGCTTGACCGGCTCAGCCTGGGGCGACTGGGCCAACTACACCGACTCCCCGCTCCGCGCCGAGGCCGCCGCGGGGCTGGCAGTTTGGTGATGCTCGTGGACGTGGACGTCCTTTTTGTTTAAGATGAAACGGCCCAACACGCGATGGTTCCAGGGGGGCGGGTTAAAACAAAACGGCCCCAAAACGCGATGGTTCTTGGGGCGTTGGGGGTGGCTGAGCAATTCTGGTCACGTTTGGTTGGGGGTGGGTCACCTGTGGATGTTTTGGACATTGACATAGCAAGTGCGATGATTGCGTTGATATTTGCCATGCTTTTTCCGTTGAATGGCACCGTCGCAGGGTCGCAAGGCGTAAAGAACCGAGGAGCGCCAGGCGGGGTCGGAGCCTTTGGGGGAGCGGGTGCGGGTTTTGTTGGGGAAACTACCGGGTGGGCATAACACCTTAGCCCCAAGGACAGCTCTGAGGTTGTCCAGGGTGCGGATATCCCTTGGCCGTAGGTGGGCCAAGCCTGGCACGGAAGGAACAAGGAGGGTGGGCAATGCGTAAGAAGCGCCGGCTAGGCACATATCTAATGGTTGAAGCATTGACCCAGCCTTTTCGCAGCAAGGCTGCAGTCTCAAATTGATGTCACTGATTTGCCCGATTTTTGCGGCTCGCTTCGCCAAGTCATGTGACACGCACATGCTCTGTGGCATGCCTTTTCTTGGTAGTGGGGCATAAAAGGGCCCACCGTTGCTTAGACTTGCTGTTTCAAATGCTTTGTATTGACCCAGGCGTTCACTCAGGAAAACATGTTTGTAGTGCCTGCTCTTTCGCTTTTCAGGTCCGAAATTATCATCAGAAGACTCATCCAATTATGCCATCGATGTTTTGCTATCCGACATTTATAATATGTATACACATACGTACATGCCTTCATACCTGCATACCTACACATCTATATGCATGCGTACATACACACATACCTACTGTGTTACATGCATGCATGCATACATACATGCATGCACACATACAAACAAACAAACAAGCAAACCTACATACATACATACATACATACATACATACATAGATAGATAGATAAATAGATAGATACATGCGTACGTACATACATGCATGCATGCATGCATGCATACATGCACACATACATACATACATACATACATACATACATACATACATACATACATACATACATACATACATACATACATACATACATACATACATACATACATACATACATATATACATACATACACACATACACACATACACACATACACACATACACACATACACACATACACACATACACACATACACACACACATACACAGATACACAGACAGAGACAGACAGAAAGAGACAGACAGACAGAGACAGACAGACAGACAGACAGACAGACATACAGACATACATACATACATACATACATACATACGTACCTACGTACCGACCGACCTACCGACCTACCGACCTACCTACCTGCCTTACCTACCTACCTACCTACCTACCTACCTACCTTACCTACTTACCTACCTACCTACATACATACCTACATACCTACATACCTACCTTCTTACATACCTACCTACCTACCTACCTACCCACATACCTGCATACATGCATACATACTCTGTTTGGTGAGTTGATCCAACCATGCTTGTTGCATCGAGCAAAGTGCGCAACCCGGCCTTCAATTGCACTCTTTCCTTGTTTCATAACGATTCATTGCACTCTGGCGGAAGCGAGATTGATTGCTGCAGTGCCAGGAGCGCAGCTTCAAGGAGCGTCTCCTTCAAGAGGAGTCACGCGAGTCGGAGCGAAGGTTCGGTGGATTCCCAAGCTGGCGATGAAAATGGCAGGTTGAATGTGGGGTCCAATGCTTGACGGAATCCGCCATTTCGTGTCAATTGATGGACGCGAACCTTCCAAGCACTAGTTTTGAGATGTGTTGAGAGTTGACAAAAAAGGGGCTAAAGCACTGGAATTCATTTCGAACTGTCCCACGGCGAACCACATGCCTCTCGGTTGTCTCATGTGTGTCTTGTTTCTGCTTTCCCTATGTCAACACTGGCTCAGTGAGAGCGAGCAATTCTCCCGGTCTTCCTGGCCAAGGGGCCGTTCCGTGATGCAGCATCACGTTTTGCCAGACGCGGACCGAGGTTTTCTGTTATAAAATCCGCGCCCCGTGATTTGATTGCGCCTCCTTGGAGCCTACTCTTTGTCAAAAACGGGGCCCCATTCGAATGGGTGGGTTTGTGATGAGCTCATGATGCGATATAGATGTGGATTGATTTTGACCCATCACCACAGGTTGTTGTAGTTGTGATAGTCTTCCAGTTGCATCACAGAAGCATGTTCCGCGGTGGCTAGTGGGGCGGGCTGAAAAGGCAATTTGGCTCGTGTCCATTTGATGCTTCGGTGCGTCCAATACGCAAGATAGACTCAGAATTGTCTATGACATCCGTGCTCATGCTTAGCCCGGCTCATTGATGCTATGCATGCTGGACGTTGCCCGCGGCATTTGCAGATCAGACGCTGTGGCCAGCGTCAAATAAATTCTTTTGCAAGCGTAGCACGCCGCGACACAGTGTCGCCGCGACACAACAAGGCCGCTCGCTTGGTCACTCAGCCTAAATTGCTCAGGCCCACAGCTACAGTACACTTGCCATGACCCGAATCCCCCTCCCACCATCCACTGTCGCCCAATTTAGAACCCGGCTTGTGCCTTTCTTTTTGCCAGTGCTTCGAGTTGCGAACATAGTAGGTAACCAGAGCAAGCAATGATGTCACCCCATGGTGGTTATCTAGTGGCAACTGGAAGCGCTGGGGTAAGCCAATATGTCTTCCGATGTTCTGGAAACAAAAATCACCGAGATGGGGACGGCTCAATGACTTTTATTTTCATCCTTGACTTAAGCACGCTCTCCGGCACGTAGACATTCGTGTTGCGGTTGTTGCGGTGGTTGCGGTTGCGGCTTTGTGAGGCCAGCCCAAAACAAGGCACACAGCTCCCCCATGTGTTGGGTTGAGGGACCTTTCCAGTGATTCCAGTCGACAACATGGGAAGAGGAAAGAAACCTTTTGTCCATTCTGCGTTCAACAGGGAAAGAAGCCTTTTGTCCATTCTGGATCCAAAATACAGAATGTTTTGATGTTTGAATTAACAAGACACCAGAGGAGGAAAGGTTTGCTTGTGGGGACGTGGCCATGGATCCCGAAGCACTTGGGCAAAGACGCCAAGATAGGTCTCCGCTTTCTCTTCCCTTTTTGAAGCAGACCCAACAAGTGGCACCTGGGAAATCAACATCACACAGGTATGCGGTATGCTCTTGAAACAAAGGCGCTCATGGATCTTGGAAAGAACTTGCCAGTGAGGTATTTGTCTTGAAAGCAACATGACCCTGGCGCAAGCTGCTCAGATCCCAGGTGTGAGGTCAAAATCCCTCGGTGGTCGGATTTTTCGAGAACCGTGAGATGGATTCCTAGTAAGGGAACCATGATGGCCGAATCTGGAGCTTTGACCTTGGCAAGTTGGATTTGTCCCAAAGCTGGTACAGCCAGCAAATTGCATGGCGCCAAAACGAAAAGGACGCCCCCATGTGTCGCGCATTTCTGTGTTTGGGACACATGTGGGATAATATCCGGATATCCCTCCAATGACTGAAACTCCGCCGATCTTGATCTGCGAGCACCTGAGGTAATGGCATACATGGCCGCGACCTTGGGTGCGTTTCGGAAGCCCGGTCAGAGTGGTTTTTCCAGTGACGCGCTGAATAGCCTATGTTGGGCTTCCAAAGACGAAGCCAACATGTCGGCAATAAGGTTTCGAGATCCTTTCACACCTGGGTGTTGCTCGGCAGTGACTTTTTCATGGTGTTCCCAACCTGAAGGTTCGATTCGCCACTGGGGCCCCGATGGTGGTTTTATTTGGGTCCCGTGGTCAAGCACGTTTTCGGAGGAGCCCGAGCTTTCTCACAGCCAGGTATAGCCTTACCTCTTGCATTACCATCTTCAATTGTTGTTTGGCAGGAAAGTGATCAAGAGAAGCACTCGGCCAAGTGTGACGACTGCTTATGATGCCTTGTTTGATTTTGCAGTTTGATAAGAGCCCGGTCAGGAATACATTGCAAGGGATCTACCCCTTTGATCCCAGTGAGAGACATCTTTGTAGTTTTGTAGACGCCATCTAAAGGGTATACACCCCAGTTTCCCTCAGGGATAGTTGTTTAGGCTTAGTGAAAACCCGCTGAGCCAGGCTGGTTCCTCACCCTGCGGAGTACTGAGTGAAGCCTGGCTGCAGCTCGGGATTTTGTTGCAAGAGGGGTACGAGTAATGAAAGGGCGCTCCCCCTTTTCACCCCCTTTTTGGGGCGCCCTTTGGCTCTATATGGGGGCTGTGGAAAGAAGAAACCTCATCATCATCAACGACAACAGCAGCAGCAACCTGGTTTGTTGTGTCTGTGCTCGTTGCCACCATTGCGCCTGGTTGGTGGGCAAGGGCAAGGACTTGAATGGAAAGATGATGGTTTAGCGATGAACCTGCCTCCAAACTGGTTCTTAGAGGCCATACTCCTCAGATCACCTTCTGATAACAACACCGCCCTCCAAAGCAATGGAAGCCCAGAAGATGTTGAACGAAGAATGTCAGGTTTCCCTTGGGCTTACAGCCCTGCTATTGACTTTCGCAGTTTGTGGCGGGGGGTCTTCAATGTGCAACTATCGTGTTTGTTTGCATTGGGACAACTTGCTAGATAGTGTTTTCCAAGCCTTTGCGTGCCGGCAGCAGGGGGGTGGCGAATAACGACGAAAGCGATGTGTTTCCAATGTTAATGATTAGGCCATTGCAAGGTATAAGCATCACATCGGCATCCCAGCAACCTGGGAAACTGTACTCTCATTGGAAGTGCATCCTTGCAGAGATTGCTCAGAAGTCCCAACACCATGATGAGGTGCGTATTTGAGAGATACACCATGAGTCACCCGGCTTCAACCGGGACTCCGCTTGAAACAGGTTGTTGTTTTTGTTGTTCTTCGAGGGTACCCTTGTCTAGCATGATTTCAAAGGGAATCCAAGCAGACAGCACCATTTTGAGCTACTTGGACACACACACACACACACACCAACACATCCCCTACAGAAATCCAACCTTTGCGCGCAAAGAGTTGGAGGATCCACAGGCCGGTGGCAGTTGATCCCGCTTGTGCATTGCCAGGCTCAGCCTTCCTGTCTAAGATCTGCTTGTTGGATCTCCATGTTTTTGCCTTCCAGCAAGACGTGAACTTCTTGCACCAGTTCTATATCTCACCCAGTATCAGGGTTCCACACGCTAGAGAAGCTCCAACCATGTTGGCTTACAGGGTAATGTTCGGACCACCCAACAATTCAAAAAGACAGCTTTGGCCTGCAGGAGTTTTCCTAAAGTGGAGAATAAAGGGCAATGCCAAGTGGTTGCATAATGTGACCAACATCAAAGTCACAATCTAGTTGGTAGGGGAACACCCCCAGCTATTGACTTTGACATTCCCAGATTTATGTAGAGCTTGGGTTCCGGATGTCTCTTAGGCGCCTGCCGCCTTCTATGTTGCAGCGCCGAATCCACATGGTCAAGTCATGCGCCTCGGCGAGCGGTTTTCAAGGCGACCTCGGCTGGCGATGATCCAGGATGTAGATGGTTTATCGTGCTTGTTTCTCAAAATAGCCCCCCCCCCCTTTTGAGGGATACGGGATGCCTAGCACCAATGAGTGGTGGATGTTTAATCCAAAAGGGGTAAGCATGCACGATTCTCGGGTCAACGGAGTTTTCGGCTGACAGGTTTTTGTTTGGTTGTAGGTTTCTTTTGGATTTGGGGGAGGCCAGGATTCCCCGTGGAGTCAGGCCTCCTGGTAGAAACCCGGCCAGTGGCCCTGTGGCCTAGGCCGGGGGAGGGGTAGCTGGGGGAGGGGGGGGTCAGTGCTGTCACGAGCGGTTGGGCCAAGAAGGTTTGAGCCTTTTGGAGGGGCTTGAGCTTCCTCCTCGGCCTTGCTGGGCACACCCCCCTCCCCAGCTCGTGATGGAGGAGCTTCGGGCGGATTTGGCCCGCAAGGGAGGCACTACGGATGATTGGAACTACGGTTTGAACCTGGGCCTCATCGGCAGCGACCTCGACTGGATCGACGCGAGGGCAATCCAGGACCGGGCACGCTCAGCGGCGGACAACTTGATGTCGAAGGGGGCCTACCTGGAATACGAGTGCTACGATGCCAGGGGCCGCAGCCAAGGGCGAGCAGTGGTTAAGATTCGAGGTTGGGCTGACCCTGAGAAAGGCCTACTGGAGGCGGACCACTTGGCAGCGAGCGATGGGTACTACCAGTACTATGGCGAGAGCGAACTCTCGAAGGGCAAGGCTTTATACCACATTTGCGGTGGGGCCCGGCAAGGGTGCAATGTTCATCTCCATCGGGGTGATCGACGTGAGCTTGTTCACCTGGAGAGATGGAGGATGATCAACCCACTCCTCATGAAAGAGGTGGAGTACTTGAGAAGGATTGCCGAGGTTTGCATGCGTGAGCATGTTGTGAACTTCGCCCCGCGGGTCCCAGAGCCAGTGCTGCCCCCCAGAGGCGGCGACATTGATGCCTCGGGGATTGACAAGGCAGTGGCTGAGGCTGCAGCAGATGATGCTGACTATGAAGGAGGAGAGCGAAGGACCGAGGAGGGCCGTCTCCAAGTGGTGCCCCAGGCGTCCCGACGTGGGTCTGTAGGGGCACTGCTCGAGGAGAGGGCCAGAAGACAGACGGAGGGAACTCGAAGGAAGGAAGCAGAAAGAAAAGGGAGAAGGAAGGCAAGAAGCAGAAGCGTCAGCGAAAGGA